GTGCATATGATGATGATTCTCTGTTGTTTTTTTCTACGTTAATATTGAAGGTGAAGTGGCAGTGCTGATTGATGGGTTTTGTTAAGCCAGGAGATTATAGAATGACATTTTCTTGCTGTTATTTTTCAAATTTATTCGCATCCTCATAATCATCACTGGTAATTGTTCTGCTACTTTCAGTTGTTTCTTTATCACAATGATATCTGGTTAAGTTATTTTTAGGAATCGTTAATTTAAATATTTCCTTACGGTGTTTTTTTTCTAATGTACGTTTACGTTATCTTTTCGTCCCACTCATCCACAATAAAAACATGATACCTGCTATTTACTAGAATACATTTCTATTATTCAGACATGCTAAATATTCTAAAAACTAAGAGGAAGCGAAACAAAAATGAGTGAAAAGAAAAGATTTGCGAGTGACAAGGATCATATTATGCGTCATCTGTTCTATGATTGTAGATTAGTCATCATAGCGCTTGTATATGTATAGGAGTACACAATTACAACGATATGTAGCTATAGAGAAAAGACAACAACTAGTGGCATTCGGTTAGGGAAAAACAAAACGAAAAGAGGAGAAAACAAATAGCCGTTTTTGCATCATAGTTACGCCCAAGAAAGAGCGAAAGATAAACAGTAGTGCGACGCATCATCAGCGTCAAACAAAGAAGAATATACTGAAACCGTGAGTAAGAAATGGATGATTCTTTCAAAATTTACATAAAATAAAAGAAGAAAGATGCATGATATGATCGATGCACATATAAATAAAACAAGATTCGTTTGGAAAAATACTTGCCCCTGCACGCTTAGAAGAGAAAATATTTTTCCAAAAATTTCCCCTGATGCTTAGGTTTGTAAAATTTTCCCCACACGGCTGTACGCGCACACGGGTAAATTCTGCACCTCTGGTTAGACGACACTAAAATGTCACTGCCACTACTTTTGGATACCCCTAGGTAACTTACTGATTTATTTCTAATTTAACAGTTTAAAAGACAAACTTATAAGAAAAACCTATACAAAGATAACCTATAAATCGTTGTTAGCTCTAAGATATAAGGAATGAAAGAGAGATATATAAAGAGCGAAATAGACAAGCAATGTCACTGATGTTATGTGACAGAACGAAGCAAAATATGACCTTCATGGGGGTCGAACCCATACCTTCTGCTGTCCGGGCAGATGTCCTACCAGTTAGACTAGAAGAACGTATTAATCTTCGTTTAGCGTTAGTGACGGATCACACTAACGCTAACAATCGTGATCAATATTTAGGCTCTCATAGTCACAAGTGAACTAAAGTTTAACATTTAGACAAATAAAAATAGACTAAAAACTATCGCACATATTCCTTATTGACTTATCGATTCACAAGTCACGCGTACGAATTGCTCCCCAGGTCGAGCATTACAGTGATCTGATACGATCGTAAACGGCCGTATACGGCAACGTATACTACCGTTTTATAACGTTTCCGACTGTAAATCGCCGTAATTCTACGTTTTGGCATGCACCGTATTTCGCCGTGTCGTAAACAGTTACTGACGGCCGTAATGTGGTCGAATATTTAGTTGCACACCTTTTGTTGTAATCATCATTAACTAAATTTTCTAGTTGAATAACATCATATTTTTGAAAGCTACTATAATCAGTAACAAATAATCTGATCGAATAATTCCTAGTCATTCTGATAGTGCTTTACAAGGATTAATTATTTTATTTAGATCTGCAGTCTTATTTACATCGTCTTTTTTAAATTGATTTGATGTGATCTAAATTCTAAAAGAGTATTGGCGGAGACATATGAAGTATTGATTGTTGCCACAGCGTCATATACATCTAGCGTACTGATTTTAATCTCCATGAGTCATATACATCTAGCGTACTGATTTTAATCTCCATGAGTCAAAATAGTCGAAATATTAAAATATACTAAAGAAAGACGAAAGAAAGATGTTTCTAGTATAGTAACATTCTATAGTTTTAAACATGATTATAGCATTTTAGAAGAAAACTAAGTTGTTAATAAGAAAGATCGATTTCTTGATTTATGATGGGCACTGATAAGAATAAGAAAGCGTACAGATACCTATGAGACAAAAGGTTTTCTATCAACCATGATGATTAAAATTCGTATGATCAGTAATCAATTGAATCTAAGTCAATATGTCATAAAAATTGTATTGATTTCTAGAGTAAAACATGAAATCAATCACGCGAAACTACTAATTTTTATCGGAAGAAGAAAATACACATAGATTTATAAAATTTATTACAAATATTTACGTAATCATAAATTTTTACAACGTAGAAGATAACATATGTTCCATAATGAACAGATTTGGTATTTGACTTATTTCTCTCCGATATTTGAACATAACGAGATCAGCTTCTTTTCGATAGATTGACCTTTCCGTTTTTTACGTAGCCGTCAACTAACAGAAGTAGTATAAGTTATTGTTTCACACCTAGTGAAATTTTAATACATTTAAAATGTGTCACTTTTTACACTTTTGTTACAATTGTCATTTTCAAGAAATTTTATCAGTTCGACAATAATTAGAATGAAGCCTTCACGATTATCGTAGAGTTCATTATTTTCAAAAGAAAAATCAAATATCATTATAAATGAATAACATAGATATTGCTACAACTGTTTTGAAAATTTGTGTGTAAAATCTTTCTTGATTAGACTTTTGAAGTCATAGATGAGAACCTTGTCTTTTTGTTTTGAAAAAAAAAACAAACGCATCATTCCTTCTTGTGGATTTGAGAGATTAAAATAATGTCGCACAAGTTGTGCGAATAGTCATTTCCTCAGTTAATTAACTGTTCGATTCATTACATTTATTGTCAGATTGATCAAAGTATTCGTAAATTAGAATGTAGAGAGATTGGTTTTTCTAAAGTGATGCGTTCTAAATCAATCTTTTTAATTGAGCCTAAACAAATACCTATGCGCAGATTTACAAAGAATTGAATGAAGTATGAACAAAAGAAAAACAAAGTATTACTTCACTCTATACTAATTTCTAAAAACAAGATTTTAATATTTTATGATGCATCAACATGCACACATAACATGTTCTTAAATGTGCCGAGACTTTTAACAACACGATATTAACTGAAAATAAATAGTGCGAGAATTCATTTAGATCTTTACTACAGAACAGAACGAACCAGCTCACAATAATTATAATAACATTAATACAAGATTTTCAGAGCGCTAACCCACCTGCATAACTCTCTCGTTCTCTTTCATCGTAAAATCTAATTTCTTTCTGTAAAAATTTCAGAACTCAGAATAAACAAATTCTAAAAGAACTTTATAGAGAAGAAGGGCACCAAGTTCCAGAAAAGGGTTTTTGTTTCGACACCTATTGTTACACTCAAGGGTGAACTGCAGGTTTGGAACCTCCCACACCTCAGAGATTTTTCATCATGGAATTTGGATTCTTTTTCACAAGTTTATTGTGTATTTCATGAAAAATTAATTTTTAACACTTGGAATCCCTCTGAAGGGTCGAAAAAACTTGTTTTATTCTGGTTTTAATATAGATAGTTATATTTCCATATAACTAAGCTTTCTGATTACAAGTATTTTCTCATTTTTGAAATTCATCTAATAATAAGAAAAATATGAAGCACTCTTGGAGCTTTAAAAAAACCAGTTACTGACCTAAAGATCCATGAATATTCGATTTGTACTGTTTGAAAATAGGTCTGTTCGATGCAGAATTTTTTTTTTCTATCAGAATATATAAGAACGACTTAGATATTGAATCTTTTTTTCTCTCGATAAATTTCAAATACCACCCCGACCGGGTCATACAGTTACAAGTACTGCTTTTCTCAGTCGTATGAAATGTAGTTTTTCGAGGTATACCAGTTAGATTTTCTTACCGGATACGTAATTGAATGTACTCTTTCTAATAAAACTGTTTTCAACTTAAAACTCGATGGAATTTGAAGTGTTTTCGCGCCAATACTAGTGTTGGAATCATATTTCTGCCATTGCTTGGCTGATACTTGATAGTTTCAAACAGAATAATTCCTATGCTACTGAATATAAATATTATATTTGTTTTAAGCACAAAATCTGAGTGGATATAATTATTTCTATAAGTTTTGTTTTCGATCAGCCGTTTTACTCTGGTCTCCTTCAGGATCATTTGAAAACAAAATATTTTATTCAAAACAGCTATTTGATTGATTATTAATTAGTCTATTTTATCTCAAACATCATTCCCAAAGTTTGGAAACTTCTAGCATTGTCTACATGGCTTTTAGAGTAAGCTTATTTTTTCGTTTATCCATGACGGGGGCCAGGGGTGAAAATCTGACCGAAAACAAAAGTTATAGAAATAATTAAATCAAATTAGATTTTGTGCTTAAAACAAATATAATACTTAAATTCAGTCTAATGGGAATTAATCTGTTTGAAACTATCGAATATCAGTCGCATGTAGAGGTGTCAGCCGTACGGCTGAGCCGCCGCAGCAGCCAATTTTTCAATAATATCAGCCGCCGCAGCCACCAAATTAGTAGTAATTTTAAGAATTTTGGGGGAGCCGCCGCTGCGAAAAAACAAGTTTAGCCGTTGCGCCGCTGCAAGAGATAAAAAATTTTGATAGCGTTATTTTTCGCCGCTGACATCAATACATATGCGATCGAATCGAACATTTTTCTTTTAATTTTCGTCAGTGAATTTTTAACTGAGCCGTCGCTGCCACATAAGGACTTACAAATATCAGCCGACGCCGCCGCTGTGAAAAAAATTTTAAGAATTTGTAGCAGCCGCCGCTGAAGACATTACTCATTCAAATAACGAGTCACTGGAATTCTTCAAAAATTGAAAACTGTTGCCCGCCGTCGCCGTTCAACCCTTCGGCTGACACCTCTAAATATGACCTTAACAACTAGGTGATCATTAGATTAATTCTTTGCCTTCGAACTTTCTTAAAAGAAAAACTCGTAGTTTAATTTTTTTTAAACTAACCATTTGATGATAAATAGATGTACGCTTGTTGGTCCACAACAACATGACGATCGAGTAAAATTGTCGATATTTTATCAATAGATTCATCTTCTGAAATCAATAAACGATTACATGGTAAACATTGATAGACTTTTAAAAGAAATTCAAATGTTTGTTCATCTAATGCATCAATAACATTTATGTTTGCTTGATGTAATTCAAATAGAAATGTTTCATTAATGCATGATAATGAAATAATGAGGTTAACGTTAATTAAATACTTTTTAACAAATTGCCGATAAACTAATGTGTCATATGAAAAAAATTCTTGGTTATGATCAACTATTGTGAACAATGAAGATTTATCAAATTCTGATGATTGTATATTTAAAAATAAAATCGTTAATTGACTATTTGAAATAAAAGATGGGAGTAACTTATGAGAATTATGAATCGGTAAAAGAATACCATCAATTAAACGCGATTGTTTTATCGATGAGCCAATTGTAACAAATGATAGTTGTTGATTATAAATAAGATAATCATCAATTCGATCGAGATTATCTGAAGAAAAAACAAAACATAATTCCTATCGAAATTCAAGTGTAAAAAGTCATGTCATTGTGGGTATTTTATTTTATTTATCTTTGAATTGAATATTTGCTCAATTTTCCAAAAGCTCAATAAGAAAAAAGTTCATATGTGAAAACGAGATTTAATGGATATATATGCATGAGTCGTATATGAATATCTATGTCAGAAATGGGCAAGTCAAATCATTTTTGACTTGACTTGACATTTTTTTTGAAGTTAAGATGACTTGACTTGACTTGTGACTTGATGCATATAAAAAAAGTCAAGTCAAGTCTAAAAATGTATATATATGAAGGTATTTTATTCACTTCAATTTCTATTTTCTAACTTAAAATTTAATGAAAAATAGAAATGAAGATGAGGACATATGCTCAGATATTGAAATTGCGTGAAATAAGATAATGCTGTTAAAATATGTGGAAGTTTTTTTCTCAATTTCTATTGAGCGTTTCATTTCCCAACAATTTGTTTCACGAAAATACATTGTTTCCTTTGTTTTTATAAAAATTTAATTGATTCATAAGTTAGAAAACTATAATATGGGCCAAGGAAACAATGCTGTCGGTAATTTGCTTTTAATTTAAGAAAACTTAATGAAAACCTGGTTGAATTCCAACTTGGCTTGAAAATTTTCTGAAGTTAAGATGACTTGACTTGAGTGGAGCCAAAAAATCTCTGACTTGCCCATCTCTGATCTGTGTTACGGAAACATCAAATGTTGTTAAGACATCTATCGCAAACTGTGATGGGGCGTTACTAAGAAATTTATGATTAACTACTTCTAATATGTTTATGTCATTTCCGTAATAATGCTTGTGATATTCTGTTGGAAGTGCATGCAATATTCTAGTTTATATACTTCAATCCTCTTCATGAGTCACGCTCAGAAAAAAATATAAATATGCTCACGTTTGACTAAACGGCAAAGAAGATGATGATAAAAGTTTTGCCGATCAAAAATTAACCTAGGCAACGTATCAAGAATATGGTCAATTAATAATTCAATATTAATGTCTGCTTTTTTTTCAAGAATATTTCTCTTTGTTATTGGATATTCAATAGAAGTTAATTTTTTGTATATATTTGATAACAATAAACGTCGTTCACAGATGTTCATCTCCATAAGAGTTTGATCCATACATAGAGTATGTATAAAAAATGCTAATGTTTTTACATTTGTACCTAATTGTTCTTCAAATGAAACAAAATGATTGACAAGAAGTTGTGTAATACCAGCTGAAGTATGGATATTAGTTAGAGATCGATGAGCACGAACTAGATCTGCACCGAATATTAGTTGAGCAAAATGGCCATCGGTACTACAATGAAGGGCGTAACGTTGGATACATTTTGTAAATAGATGGCATATGTTGTTCAAACTAGATTTGACTTGATCGGGAAATGAAGAAGTTGGCATGATTAACTAAATGAAATGATTGTATTTTATTAATATTAATTCTCAAAATTATAGATTTTACTGCACAATTGTATTTCACCTTTTTGATTAAAAAGAAGAAGATCATACCAAGATTCAGAAAAAAAAGTATATATATATGCAAGGAAATTCTTTCAAATCACATGTTGGGTATGAAATAACCTATGAGGAAACCATCGCAACTGATAAATAGCGAGACTAGCAGAAACATTGAAATTTTACATATCCCAGGTCGAACAGTCCGGCCTGGAAACGGCCGGTTTCGGGTAGTTTCGTTGATTTTGTGGAAGCAGTATTCCGGTTGGAAAATTTTCCGGTGATTTCCGATCAATTCCTGCCGTTTTCTTTGATGGGAATACTGCTTCTACGTTCCAGCGATTTCCTGCAGGATATGGTGACTTTCTCGCATATTTTCTGGAGTATCCTACGGAATCCGGTGACCGGAATGTTCGACCTGGGATATACTGGAATATCTAAAAACCAAAATCTTCACATTGAATGCTCACTATAGTGAAAAGCTCATATGCATTGTAGAATATCCTAAGTTTCAGATAAAACCATGGATTCACTTTAAAAACACCTATTTTTCGTTTCGAGTAAGCACCAAAGTAAAATAAATTTTTTTCGAAGCTCTATCTCTCAATAGTATGAAAGTTTTCATGATAGACTACCCTAGTCGAACTTCTTTTATTCATGCGCTTGCCAAGACTTGAGCTCAAGATGTGCCCATAGTGCATGACTTTCTTGCTCGAGACAAGCGTTTGAATGTTTGCATGAGTTACAAAAAAAATGCAGCTATACATTTTTATTACAAGTTGAGTTATTTTGAACGTAAAATTGAAAAAGTTCTTTAATAACAGAAACGTTTAGATAAAAATTCAAGCGCATGAGCAAGAAGTTTAAGAACTTGAACTCATCGAAAGGCTTCATGTCTTGCTTCAAGATGTGTCCATAGTTCTTGACTTTCTTGATCAAGAAAATCAAGAATTGCATGCGCTTGCAAAACAAAGTTTGACTAGGGTAGGTAATAAATATTTATGAAAATTTCTAGCTTTGTAAGATTCAACTGCTTAAGTTCTAATTAACCTATCTTCGAATAGGTTTATGTGTAAGCTATGATCTTAAATTGAGATGATTCTACTTCAAATCTATAATGACATTAATTGCGAGTTCTTATTTATTAATTAGAATTCACTCAGATTAAATAAATAAGCTTCTCTATCCGATAGGAAACACTGGAACAAGTCACAACGAACTTCGAATTCTTATAAAAATTTTAATTCTCAAATGAAAAAAATATTCACTTACATTTCGTTGTTAGTGAAGTCATCTTTGTTCCAGTAAATTATATCAGCCATATTATAATATCTCTTCTGCAAGTTTCCAAGATAATCTCTATAGTTGAAAATTCGACAGATGTCGTTAATATGAGATAAAAAATAAAATAAAATGAATTGAATCGAATTTATATTTTTTTTTTTAGTATAATAATTTGTGATTGCTTTCTTTAAAAAATATAACTATCAAATATTCTACTGTAGATGGCCTTCTGTTACAATATGATTCACTGAAAAATAGCGAATCTTCTTCAGTTTGAGCAGTCAAGCGTTTCATCAATTTTTTTAATTAAATTTAAAAGTGTCTCTTTTATTAACAGTGATCATTTTAATCCATATTAATATCCAAATTATTTTTAATAAATAGTATCTATCGATATATATACAAATGCTAACTTGAAATAATGCACTGGTCATCTGTGATAAAGCCATCAAATAATCAAATCTATATACTATCTGAAGAGGATCGTACGCGTATTTATCAATTATTAAATGACTTAGATAGTGATCAACTACGTTTACTTCTTACAAAACATTTACAAAATCCTTCTTTATCGAATGACATGCAAAATTATACACATGCACAGCTGTTTCAGGAATGTTTCTCACTTGTGAATAATTCTTATACAGTTGAATTAGGGCAAACATTGCATGCTTTGCGACAACAACGTTACTCATCGGATTATTTTCAACAACAAAGTGTACCGAATTTTCGAACACCGTTTAATCAAGATCAAACACGTTTTTTTACACATACCGCAATGCAACATAATGGACGACCAAACATTATTGTGTCAGCATCTCCTGTAATGGTACAACACTTAAGAATGAGTAAATATATAATAAAATGTTTCATAAAGTATTTGAAAAAGATATTGAATTATTATTAAACAAAAAAGTTGAATCGATTGTTGTTCTTATTTAAACATTTTTTTGATGGAATATTTTTATCGTATTTCATTCTTTCTTATCCTTTCGATTAACATTGAGTTTACCTATCTATTACAGATCATTTTAATACTCTTTCAAGATTGTTCGACTTTTTCTAATGTATATCAGAATTTACAACAAATAACATATATTCATTCGAATATTATAGCCTACGGCGCGAAAGTCTTGAAATAAAGTACTCATTTTTCGACCATTAAAAAAACAAATGGTTAAAACAAAAACCAGTGAGTTATAACAAGTACTTTTCACGCTGTCTGTTGTGAGATTAAACGAGTATTGTAATCTTATTTCTATATAGAACGAGAGTTTGTTAACTTTTATATTCCGATTGAAATCCATGAAATTCAAAAAAAAATGAAATAGCTTCTTCAAACTTGAATTACAAACGTATTCTGCGCTCGTTAATAGTATTTTATATTTGATTGCGTGACTAACTAAATTGAAATGTGTATGAATACTATTTGTTTACCTGGGATTTATTCAGACTCTAATGAGAATAGTTGCAAGATTATGTATTCATGCATTAGTTTATATTTAAGTAATATTGCGTTAATTGCGTTGACATATTATTCTGATTGCTTTCAATTATCGATATACATATCTTATGATGACAGCATCCTATTTAGACCTTACACATACCAGTTGACAGTAAATGTAACATAAGACGATACTATTCTCTAATTCATTTTGACTTTCTCGATCGAACACATCAATTTAAGAGAAACGCTAAACTTCGGAATAAGAAATTTCTCAACTTTAGCCTACGGGCCAATAAAACGCTTGCCATATTTTATTTTCTCTTTTGAGAATGATCCATTTCTCATTAGATCAATGTAGCAGTTTCTCTAACGCCTTTAATCATCGCTGTTGCATTCGTAATTCTAAAATAAATAAATGCGAAAATATCGGATGTGCATCCGATTGTTATGTGTACTTCAAAAACTGAGTCGATTTATATATGTTGTAAATAGTTCTGAGAAAAAGTTTTTTTTTTGAAAAAAACCCTGTAACCCCTCCCGTCAGGTATGGTCTGATCAATAATGACAATTTTTTTCGATAAATCAGCCATTTTTTGACGGATCCTTCTCATCTTTGAACGCGACTGAAATATTGATGAGACCCTTCTGCGTACAAAATTTCGTGACGATCGAATGAGGCTTTCAAAAGTTAACGGCCGGACACGCTGACCGAAAATCTAGTGTACTCACTTTTTGAGTACACAAAAATTGATGCATTTCTCTCTACCAATTGTCTGATATTTCTAATGACACTTGTATTTTGTTTAGATCGACCAAATCTGAATCATTTACAACCGATTAGTAATAATGATCCTCGTTCATCTCATCAACAAGCTCAACGAAGTACTTACATAACTTCAATTCTTGCTCGCCCGTTACAGATCAGATCGTCGTCTCCTTCGGTTGAACCAATTGTAAATAATTCATTAACAACGGTTTTGCAACAATATCAAATTCCACTTTTACCCGCGCCATCATGTATCCAATCGTCAACATCGTCTTCTCGCCAAACTCCTATTTTACCTGCACCAAGTAATGCTCAAAATTTAACATTCCATAAAATAACTTTTAAAAACTTACCATTTTATCATACAATAACATGTGTTCATGAACGTAATCATATATTTCACTATGATTCATATCGTAAACAGTTTACAGCTCATGACGCTTTTATTTTACCAGTAGATATATGTAATCAATTAAGTTTATCTTACGATTATATTTCTGATCTGAATATTCATACAACAAGTAAATGTCTTCTATTACGTCTTGCACGTATTGATCAACCACCTGCATTTAATGGACAATATGAAGATAATCTACCACCAAATTTAACTATTGTTGTAAATGGACATACTTTATCAAATTTGCCTACACCAAAAGCTTCTACACGACAGCAAACTGATTTAATACGTGCTGGTCGTGAAATTGATATAACTCCACATATTATGTTTAATCCGATATTAAAAAATGAAATTACAATTACATGGTCATATCACACGGATAATACTAGTTTACACATACAATATGTAAATGCTAAATATGCGTTACATATTTATCTTGTCGAACGTTTAACAGTGGAAAAATTATGCGACAAAATTATCAACAAAATCGGAAGATTCTATCGTCATGATTCAGTTAAATTGTTAGCTAATGCTCGTGCTAAAGATGGCGATCTTGGCTTAGAAGTTAGCGATCAAAAATTAAAATTAATATGCCCTATTGACCAAAGACTGTTAAGAAAGCCTATACGTGCTACAACTTGTCAACATTTACAATGTTTTGATTTAACAAATTATATTGGTAAAGACAAGAAGAATTTTTTCGAACGTTTGTCATTTTTCTTAAATAACAATAGATACCTCGTTTTTACCTACAGAGAATAAGTTCGATTCCAGTTGTTTTCAAACGAGAATTTCCTGTTTGTAGCAATCCACTATGTTTTTGTTTAATGGCAAAAACATTTTAGAAAAATATTATCATTATTGAAAAGAAATTAGTAAATACGAGATTAACATAGCATCCGTTAGAATATGGATCATCTAAAAATTCTTCTCGTTTCATTGACAATTATTCCTTTTTTTTTCACCTAGAAAACTAATTTATTTTGAGTCTAAATATCCATCTTATTATCTTTTAGCATTAAATGAAAAGTCAAACAAATGGATGTGTCCTGTTTGTAATAAACCTGCATTATTTGACGATTTACAAATTGATTTACATACAGAAGCAATATTGAATTCGATAAAAAATGAAAACATAACCGAAATAACAATTAAAGCAGATCTTGATTGGAAACCTGTTATGCCAATAAAAACTGATGACGAATCAGTAGGCTCAAGTTCAGCAATACGTGCTATGTCATCTTCAAATGATATTATATATATTGATGATGATGATTAACAGTGTTTGCTTTTTCTGTGATAAAAATTGAATTTAGGGAAAGGACTTGATAACAACAATAATAATAATAATAATAATAATGATAATAAATATTTCTTTTCCTTTTTTTGTTTCAGATAATGACTAATCTATCTGAAGAACATTATTTTCTTCAGTTAAAATCTTTACCTATTAATGACTTACAATTATTACTGACATATTCGGGACAATCAAGAACAGGAAAACGTCATGAGCTACTTGAAAGATGTTATTCATCGATTAAATCTTCGAAATTAATACGCGATAAACTTGAAGAACTATATAATAAACGTTTTGGCCAAGGTGACCTACCAACAATGCCCTATCCGCATGATTCAAAATCTGCATTGAGAATAACACCTCATAATGTACATTCACACCAACAACCATTAAATATTGATATACATTTTTTACCATTTACATTCAATGAAGAAATGTGTGTTATATCACCGCCAAATCCAATACCACCCGTAAAACATGTGTCGAATGAATCTCAAACGTTAGCCAATTTTTATTTCTTATTATCAGCACAGCAAGCATCTGGTACGAATAAATGAATGCACGCTTTAAAAGTACGAATTTCGTTTTTGTTTACATTTAGATGTAGCAACATCAACTTATTTCAGCGCTGATCAATCAAAAATTGAATTTCAAAAACAAATCCTACTACGATTTACAACGATTGGTGATATAGCAAATACTGGAACATATGTACCAGATAAATTACCACCCAATCTTTATGTTTTTGTCAATAATAAAGTTGTTGCATTACCTCAACCAAAACCAACAGCAAAACCCAATTCAGATGTTATTCGGCCAGGTTAATACGTAGACAAGATAATTAGTATTGCACAATTCAATAAGATACTGAATGATAATAGATCAATGATTAAACTAATACTCTAGCCCTCATATCTTTGTAAACATATTAGAAAAATTTTGCAAACACTCAAATATACACGAAAAAGATTTTCCATTACAAGATATTCTTGAAATAATTTGAAATCATTAACAATGCACTAGATCTACTTGCTCTAATTGCATACTCGTTTATTTCATTAAACAAATTGTAAGGATTATTAAGTAGAGTTGCAAATAAAAAGTAGAACTTTATTTCTCTTGCCTTCAATTATGTTTAAAGTAATAACTAGTTATTCTTATTATTTAGGCCGACCAATAGATATAACTGAATATTGCCGTTTATGTCCATTAATATCCAATCTAGTTGAAATATCTTGGTTTACACAAGAAAATTCTAATCCGTTACCAGCTTATATTGCTGCTGTTTATCTCACTGAACGTAAAACAGTTCCACAATTGTTAGCACGAATCTCACGTCCTATAGCTATTCGTCCATCTATTGAAACACAACGTTCTATATTACAAACACTATCAGCACAACAAACCTCACAAGGAATTGATGATGATCTTGAAGTAGCATCAACGTCAATTCGTATCCCACTTCAATGTCCAGCCATGCGTATACGAATGAGAATCCCAGGCCGTGCAACAACATGTAAACATGTTCACTGTTTTGATTTAGAAGGCTACTTGCGTATGAATGAAAAAAAGCCAAGTAAGTCAATAAATTATACTTTTTCTTTTAAAAATCTATTTTCTTGTTTGCCGTTTCTCAGCTTGGCTATGTCCTGTATGTAATAAACAAGCATTATATACGGATCTATTTATTGATCAATTTTTTATTGATATTATAAATAAATGTTCAACGAATGTACAAGCAATTGAGTATGAAATAAATGGACAATGGAAGCCCATTGAACAAGAAAAACTTTCTCGTAGAGCACAACGTGAAAGAGAAACATATAAAGCAGATAGTACGAGTAATGGAAAATCTTCGATGGATATGGATCAATTCAATGATGATGATTTTGATGACGAACGAACCTTTATGAGTAAGATTTATTTAGCTCTTCTAGGGAAGAAAAGAAAACCACAATAGATCTTCTATTTTTAGAATCAGCTGAGCATGAAGTATCAACATCAATTCATGATAATATTCCTATCATAGAATTGGATGATGATTAACATTTGTTAGGAATTTAATCTTTTTTTTTATCTCAAATTCTTTTTGTCTACCTGTAAAATTGCACATGAAAAATTAATAAATAATGCATGTATAAATATAGAAAAAAATTTTATATTTATTTTTAATCATATATTAAGTAGATTAGTTACAGTGAAATTTTTTTTCAATTTTGGTTACGCTCTAGGAATATATAGACATTAATCTGCGTAACTGATATACAGAAAGTAGGTTGTGCGGGAAAAGTAATATTCATGAAACCTCTGGCAAAACTTTCTGTGTCCCTATAATTAAAAATTTTTGTACAAAAGGCTTCTGAGAATAAACTAATGAAATTTCTTTGTACTACCATAATGTGATCATCGGCTCCGAATTGCCTGTGTTTCAAAATTTTGAAAGAAAAACAAAAGTTCAACTTTTTCTTTGATGATAATTATTTTATTCAATTTATATATATAATTACCGATGCCATGTTTTCGTGTGAAATGTGTTTCGCCATTATATGGCTTACTCGTAAAGATAATGTTTGCTCAAAAGACTATGAAACATAACAAATAATAGTATTAAGTAAACAATCTTTGATCTAAACTTACTATTTGAGAGTACATGCCGATGAATTTACTGAGAACTCTTTCATTGAATTTCATGAATTCGATCAGCAACAAAAACAAAACGAAATTCTGTATGTATTGTTGAAAGGTGTGCATCGACATTGTTCTCTTTATTTAGAAATTTAATCCGCAATAATGACTTCGCTAATTGATTTTAATCTTTAACTTTGCGTTGTGAACATGACTTGTTCAAATTTGAACTAAATCTTCTAGACATGGATAAAATTTTCGTAGGATGATTTATCATTTTACTTCCAAAAATAATCAATTATTTTATTGTTCTTCTTGTTAAAATGATAATCGATTAATATCGATGAAGAATTTTTGTGAATTGACATTCACCGAACATCGTTTGTGATTAATTTATCATCAGTCAAATTCGAAACAACGATGCGTTATGACCTCCAGATCTGACCGAATGTCTATATCATTGTAGTTATCACAAATAAAATTTCTTCTTTGCTTTTCATAGTACATACAGCAAATACGGGTACAAATAAAGTAAAAGATTTGCATTAATTTCACTATCGTATTACACATCATATGCGATGATGACGGATAAGATGAATCTATTTAATAATCAGATTTTTAATGACAAAAACAGATAATGCAAGCATTAAATGTTATTCGTGGGAAAATGTCGAAAACATGATTTGTCAGATATGAAAATTAGCATAGGTTTATTTCAAAAATAAGTACATCAATGACAATGAGATGGAGAGAAGATCAACTTGTGCTTTCTGTTTTGACTGAATAGTAACAAAAGGATATCTTTTTCTTTTGTCATTCAATAAGTATCATATTAATTGAAAAACTAAATCAAACAATTTGCTTACATATCATATAAAGATTCTCTTTGATGACACGCAGAAAATGATTGTTGATATTTGTTTCTTACTTATCATTTTTGCTTTACATAAACCATAGAAGTTTTTTTATTCGATTTCTCTGATCGATACGATGAGCATTAAATTGAATTTTTGAAATGATTCAATTTCCCATTCGAAAATATTGAATGAGACAAGTATACGGCACATGACTCATCATCAAATCTCAATAGAATGTACTGATAGTTCTTTGTGTATTTTGAATTGTATTCGAAACGATGTTCTGCTTCATCGATTATATGATCGAAGATGAATATAATTTAGATTTGAAATAAAGCACTTGACTGTATTGTATTCCGAGACAATAGAAACTAACACATCATGCCATCATTGAAGTTAGAATTCAGTAATATGAATGACGTGTTAATTGAGTCAAGCATAGAATATATGATGAATTCAATCGTAATAAAGCTATCTCCTCCTCATAGCTCACTTGTTCTCAAAAATTCCTCGTCTTTTTTCTTTTTTCTTTCCTTCAAACCTAGGCAACACAAATTGACCTCGTTTGTTACTTGAGAATTTCCTAATGGAATTATGATTTATTATTATTCACTTCTTTGATCTATTAAAATTAATAAACTATGATGAATAACAGTTGTTACTAATAAGACGTTCTTTCGTAAGTATATGTAAACATATCGTTCACCAACGCGTATGAAAGTCATTAGGCTAAGGGTCATCGAACAGGCGGCGCCATGGAGACTAATAAATATCAACTGATCATGATTGATGAATGTGTGTCAACAAGTTTACCCTATTGATAATATTTCCGATACTTTTTCTTTCTCGTGCTCGTTTTGCTTCTATCGCCTTACCGAAAAGACGTAATATGTACTATGCCCTTGTCACCTTGTGTGATGCACGTTGAAGTTGATGGAGGCACAGCATACTTTCAGAGAAAAGAAAGAAAGCATAATAATTCTTCTTCCTTTTCCAATTGTTCTCAGTTTGTTCTTCTTCCTTGAACCATTCATTGCACAAGTTCAGCTTCGACTGCAGATAAAAATCTGTCTTTTTGCTCTTGCTTCTTGACAAATCATTCTCAGCTCTATTCTCTGTTTTTCTCTCTCTCTCTCTTGTTCAGCTACTCTCTTTAGGCTAAACAAGTATTCTCTCTCATTCAAGCTCTCTCTCTCTCTCTCTTCGCTTTCATCATACACACGCAAGAAGAAAGACAGTCACTCGGAGAAAAGAAATACGAAGAAAAAGGAGAAAAAAAAGTTCATTAAATGAGATCAGGCAAAGTAACAACGACAACCATTGTATTTGCTTCTTTTCATCTTCATTTTCACTCACACACATAATGACACCACGCAAGTCTTCTTATCCATTCGTGGCTCAGGCTGAAACATTACTTATATATGGAATATTTTTATTTCTAACTGGTTTAGCACAAATCTGTGTAACGATAAGTCATCGATATATTATTGCAAGAAATAATCATCATAATGATAATATCAACATTCTCAGCTTTCTTCCAGTTACATTTACTTTAGTTGATATGCATTTGTGGTATATTTATCCATCAGCCACACTAGTAAGTATTCATGACAAAAAAAAATGAAATTGACTATTACATGAATCCGTATTTATACATATATATATATAAGAACATGTTAAAATGTCAATGATGATGATGATGATTGCTTAATAAAGTAAAACAAACTCTTGCTGCTCTTTCTCAACTTTGATACAGACAAGGGACATACTCATTGATTAAGTTCGATCATGTTATCTACCAAAACGAATTAATTGTTAAAACTGAAGAGGAAAGAGTAAAGAAAACTAATCGACAGATGATATTTATATTCATTAAACTAATCAAATATCATTGATGGTCTCTGGTGTGCATTTCAGCGAGTTGATAGTTTCTTTTTTTTGCTATTCCTGTAAAAACATACGTTGGTTTGGTAAAGTAATCTATGACATTTACAAGTGTGAAATGTATTATCATATATCCGGAGGTTATTTTCTTTCAATCAGATAAAAATCTACATCATTCATATAGTAATCATACTTTTCCCCAGTGATTTTTCCACTCCGCCGATTTCAATATTCATAATTAGAAACGTGATCGATATCTTGTTTTTTTCTTCTTTAGACCATCATCCCATTTGTCGCTTGCGTGATCTATGCTTTATTCAAACGGCAATCTATGGTACTAAAAATAAAATTCAACTTTTATTTTAAATTAAAAAAATTTTTTTCTTTTTAACCATAGGCTATACTTATTTGTATATCATCATTGATTAGTTTCATCTCATCATCAGTTTATGTTGGTCTTCTTATTGCACATACACTCGAATACTGGCAAACATTAGCATCATATCGTTATAAAAATACTCAATCTACAACGCCACTAGCGTAAGTTTAACTAAGGGAATATTTTTATTTTTATTTTTATTCTTATGAAATAATCATCCAATTAGACGTTTACTTGTACCATTTAATGAACCGTCGACATATGCTAATTTAGCGCTTTTAATCACATTTACACTAGCACTTGTTCAAGCACTTTTGTCTATGATTGGAGCAGTTATTTCATGTATTTGGTCACCATGTTGTATGAGTTTAACGCCTATTTATGCACCAATATCTACCACTTCACATTATGCTCAAACAACACCACATCGACATGAGGTATGAAGAACAACAAGCTGATATTGTCGTAATTTAACATTTCTATTTGAAATTATCTAGACTCCTCAATCATCAACCTTGCGAAGTGTTAAACGTCAACAGCAGCAGCAGCAGGATACTCATCGATTCATTACACACAATGGACATCAAGATATGATGCTTAACGGTTGCCTACATAAAAATTCAACTATGCGAAGTCATTATGATCATGTTTAAATGTTTTACTTTTTATTTATTTATTTAAAACATTCTTGTATATTTGTGCCATTCAGTAAAATGTTGTGTTATTGAACATTAAAAAACAATGTCTTGACTTATACTAGTACATGCATAATTGCCATTTGAAAAATTATTTTTGAAGGCATATAATGGTTGACTTGGGTCATAAATACACTTGGGCAGATACATTATCCACTGAGAAGAATAGCTGTAACCGATAACTTCCGTTTTAATTTACCTTCAAGAAAACAAGTTTTCTCCATTTTTTTTACAGACCACAAGTAAATGAATTCAATATGAAAATTGTTTTCTATTCTGTTTACTTAGTTAAACAGCCGATAAGTGCATAAACAGAAAACGAAACGAGCAGATGTATGCGCACATCTTCTTTCACATTGACCTATCTGTTTCTTTTGCCGTACATATGTAAAGAAGCGTGCATTCATGGCGGTCAATAATGCCACTGCGTATGATGCATACTGACTAGACTATTTTTTTTCTTTTCCTTCTTTTTTTTTCTGCCTTATGTGCGAATGGTCAAGTGGAAATTACTAGCAATTATATTTATTATTTTCACCGTTTGTACCTATTTAAATAGTATTTTAAAACAGCACATTAATTATTTAACCGATGACACTAAAAGCACTATTATAAAAACATTGGTTTTTATTCATATACAAAAAACAGCCGGTTCTGAATTTGAACGCTCAATTGTTCGTCGACTTCATTTTGGATCACAGCCAAGTTGCCGATGCCCAATGAGATCTCGATTTAATCGAACTACACGTTTTCATATAAAACTAAAATGCAATTGTTCAAGAAATAATGAGCCATGGCTTATCAGTCGATTTAGTGTTGGATGGTTATGCGGAGTACACGCTGATTGGATTACTTACCATCGATGTTTACCACCAAAAATGAATTTTGAATATGGATTTCATCAACGGAAGTATGTATACTGCTAACGAATGAAAAATAAAATCTGATAAAATGACTATCACAAAAGTAAACGAGTAACTATCGACGTAGTACAGTCACTGCAGTATTCTTAATGATTAGTGTATCCCAGCAGAGCGAAGTGTGCGTACACTCTGTTTTTTGAGACTACATTTTATTTTCCTATGAAGTACGCTCTGAAAATAAAATTTTTGGCTTAGCAAAGTGTACGTGTACACTATGCTTCGAAATCCTATTAAAAATACTGGTGCAGTCATTTGCACTAATGGGAATATAATAACAGTAAATTATTGGTTTATCGATTGTTTTTGTTCGATGTATATCATATGATTATTTACTAGTGAACTGCATAGGTTTGAAGTTGTATGGGTGAGAATTATTATCTAGATTATGAAGATGTTCATCATTGAAATGAATAATATCTATAAACGAAAGTTGGAGCATAGTTATTCATAAAACAATTTGTTTTACTCTCTGAAAATGTTTGCTTATGTCTAATTATTTAATCGAAACTATTTCTGGTTTAAGTGGAGAAATCAATTTTTTATTGTTGCTCTCCATAGAAAAGAAAACAATCTATTTATAGAATTTTCTTTATCAATGAACTATGAATGTGTTAAGTATCTCATATATAAACAAATCAGTAAGTCACTATAATCATTTTTCATGGAAGAAAGAAGACAAAAACTCAATAGGAGGAAGTGGATTGCTCATTGGAAAAAAAGCAAAGCTCTATAATATGATGTTCAATTCGGAAACTTTAATATTTCTATGAGCAGGAAATATCTACACATGTTAATTTGCATATTCACTTCCAGCTGTTCTTAGCCTACATCTCAATTGTATGAATAAACAATTATTGAGAATTTAACCTTGATAAATTACATGGGAGATAGGCGGCATGTGTTTACAATAATTCAAACTGTCTCTAATTTTCTTATTGCATGTATCTGTCTACTACTTAAAAACTGATTAATTTTTGTATTGTCTTTGGTGCTTGATCGTTGAAAAACCAAAAAAGTCTAATTATTTTATGCAACATTCAAAAATTGTATTTAAAGAAAATTATAATTGATATCTCTTTAATATCGAAGAGTATCTTGAGGGTGTGCATGATTACAATCTACCTTAAGCGGATTTCGATTCATAGGGAAAATAAATCTTTTAATTGGAAAGGCTGAAATGAGCAGAGCACTTAAATATCAGAAAATTAGAAGAAGCGTTGTTCTAAAATTGTACTTTTCAAGCTCAACAAAACCAAAAACTATTATTAGAACAGTAGCGATAAATTTTTATTTAGATTCATCTATGCAACACTTCTGCGTGAGCCAGTGACACGTTTCATTAGTGAATATCTTCATACACTTCGTGGAGCAAATTGGCTTTCGGAACGATCGTCATGTCAAAAAGCGCAACAACTTCGAAACCAAAGTGCTTGTTGGAAAAGTAATACTATTGAATTAAAATAAAAAAACAAAGAAATTTTACTTTTTTTTAAAATTAGATACAAATCTAACCGATTTTATTCTATGTCCATTTAATTCCGCCATAAATCGTCAAACTCGCATGTTATCATCATCCATAAATAATTGTTTATCATCATCATTTACTTATTCCAATTTAATTGATTTAAAGACGGCAAAGAAAAACCTGGAATCAATGGAATTCTTTGGTCTAACCGAATATCTTTATCTAAGCCAACGTTTATTTGAACGGGTAGCATACTGTAAATTAATTCGAACATGTTCGTTTCAATCTTATCTTGAACAAAACTCTATTAATAATCAAACTTATGATTATATAGAAAAAGACTTAATATCGAATGATTTGAATCGCATAAAGCAAATAAATAGCGATGATATTGAATTGTATCAATTTGCAAAGACATTGTTTTTTAAAAGAACTTGTCAAATACTAGGAATTGCTTGTTGATGATTAGAGTATTTCTTCTTCTTCTTTTTTTATGTTGTTGCTGTTGTTATATTTGCCACTTGAGACTATCTGTTTTATTGTTAAATGATGACACTCATATCTCGCAAATCGAAACAAACCGTTATAGGAAAATACATTCGTCATTCTTCTCATTTTTTCTTTTTTCCTTATAGTAATGCTTTTGTCTCTCTTTTCTTCTTTCTCATATTGTTACTGACGTTCGCATATACAAGACTAGTACTCGGCAATTTTGAGAAAATAATAATAATGAAAAGCAATCATAGAAAACTATCTTTCTTTCTTTGCTTTTATTAGTTTGTGTTATTGCTGCATGTTCATTTAAAAAAAGAAAAGATTTTCCATGTAATTCTAGTTTTTGTCTATCTGTCTGTCTGTCTGTCTATCTGTTTCTCTCTCTCTCTCTCTCTCTCTCTCTCGATAGTATTTGTTTGATGATGAGTAGTAGTAGTACGGAAGAGGGACTGAGAGAGAGAGAGAGATAAAGCAATGAATGCCGTTCTTCTCATCGTGTCGTTTCATTGTATGACACATGCCGATAGATAGAGTAGTAGACAAGATAGAAAAAAAAGGGAAACAAGCGAATAGCAAGAAAAATAGTATCCATTCATGAACAACTTCATAGATATACAAGAGAATTATATACATCACAATCATTTTATACTATAGAATCCTGTCTTTGTTCGAAAACAATCATTTCTTTCAATAGATATATAAAAGACAAAAACTGTTATAAATCTCAATTTTTTATTTTATTTTTATTTAGTAGCATGCTTATTTCGGCTGACCTATCCAAGTGAGTTTGTCTTTCATTTATTACCCTCTATTGATTGCGATCCAATTAACAATAAGAGTACGCAGCATTGAATCAAATATATCAGAGGTTCCGCCTAACGGATGTAGTTGAATGAAACAATAATAAATAAATATATGGATACATAGATGCATATATATATATAGTTATAGTTATAGTTATAGAGTATTGTTTTCTCTATTTACATCGGTCTTCGGTTCCTTGATCATTCGCTGATAAGGACGGTGCCTTAGATTCTATTCATTATTTTCACTCTTCGTTGAGTTGACAGTTGTTGAAGTTTTATTCCATGTTTCTCTTTGCAGCTACATGCGCATGTCGGAAGACATTTGCCGCTTGTGTTCACTCATCGATCATCATTAGTACTGAACGAAAGAGAGAGAAATGTCACTACCCGTCGTTCATTTCTTTCGTCGTTGTTGTCATTCGCTTTTTTTTCTTTTGCTGTTTCTTAAGTTTGTTTTATTGGATTATGATCGATTGGTAGCGATCGAACCATGATAAGCATTGAATAGAGTTTGAAATCAGACAATATTATAGAAGAAAGAGATCGAATGATGATGTTAAGAAAAATTTCTCTAACAAAGTATAGAAGGGCATACCCCTGATTGGTACCCTATTACGTCCCCCATCAACTCGTCCCCCGTTAATTGTTTCCGAGTTCGTCTCCTCTCCAAATTTGTCCCCGCCAGATTCGTTTCTACTCTAAATTGGTCCCCAATTATATTAATTGGCGCTTGATTTCGAGAAATATGAATTTCTAATGTAGTAATGGTAAAGATGAAAGACAATTTTTATCGTAATATTAACAAGTAAATATAAACATTTTTTGCAAAAATTAGAAAGAATTAAAAAATTGTCGAGCAATCACAGTATTATATCAAGACAAAGAAAATGTACTCGTGCAATTTTGTGAACGACATTGCCATTGTATTACTGTTTTCCGTTTGCGTTTGAGAGTATATTGAAAACCATTATAGTTCAACACCTTTCCTGTTCGTTTCGTTGGAGTAAAACCGAGCATATTTCAATGTGTTTATAAATAAAAAAATATCGATCAGTCAGCCGTAAACAGTTAGCCATTACATGTATCTTTCTTATAGACTGCCGGATTATACCAAAAGAAATGAATCCGATTGTCATTGTCACTAGTTGTGCATATAGACAGAACGAAGAATGAACATTTCAATGTTAAATAGAGCGGGGACGAATCCGGAGTCAATTAAGCAAACAAAAATCTATGATGGGGACCAGTTCGATTCAATTAAAAGGGGACGAATTAAGACTAACCCTATAGAAGACGGAGAAGAATATGGCGATCAAGACCATCTCGAAATTTTCTTTTCAATGAGTAGAATAAGCTCTTTTTCAATTTGTACATTAATTCAATATTTTAGATCTCCATCGGTGCTTTTATCGTACACGATAAAAGAAAAGAGAGTCGAATAATCATTGAAAACTCATTCATTTGAAAAACAATATTTCTTCATCATCTTCTTTTTCTTCACTTTTTGTTCTATGTCAAAATTATATACGAGTGTATCTTGCAGATATAAACAATAAATGAGATTCATGCGAATAAGAGATCTGTTTCTTCTTCTTCTATATATCTGAATAATATTATTTTTGTTTGCATATTATTTAATCGATGAATGTTATCTGTGGTTTTATTTTCCCTTTCAATTAACAGACCACTTTGCTATTTGATATTGATAAGATATCCGGAATTTCAAGATCGCATAGAATCGTTAATGGATTTATAATAGAAGAACAGATCTAGGTGCCTGTCATTAGTTTTCTCTGAATAGAGTTTGCTCATTTGTTTTTGAGATACCAACTATTATCACAAAACAAAGAACATTTAATTATTTTTGTTTTTCAGTCATCAATCAAACTATATGATATAGATATATATAACAGTCATTGATTATGACGCCAGCATCTAAATAAATATGTATGTAAATGAATATCTATTCGACAAAAACAATGTTTCTATATTTATTGTCTATTCTGCAATTATTAGGCCAGCTGGTCCTGACATTCTATTAACATCAGCATCAACTACACCGTTTCGTATTCAAAATTATCGTACACTAGCTTATGTTGTTATAACACTTGTTTATCTTGTTATCGGTGCAGCTATATTTGATAGATTAGAATCAACACAAGAAGCTATTCGTCATGCTAATTTAACAGCACGTATTGCTGCATTTCAACAGCAACATAATATGAGTGATGGTGACTTTATAAATTTAACTCGAACTGTTGAATTACGTTTGCAGTATCGTAAAAAACAGTGGAAATTTATTGGTTCATTCTATTATGCCACAGTTGTTCTTGCTTTGATCGGCTATGGACATGCTATACCACATACGAAAGCTGGACGCGCTGTTACAATAGCCTATGCATTAATAGGTATACCAATGTGGCTTATCATGATTCAAAGTGTTGGTGAACGACTAAATTCATTGATAAGATTCGTTGTAAAACGTATTAAGAGACGTATTAAACGTAAACGAGAGCCACAAGTAACAGCGATGGAACTATTAACATGTGAAGCATTGTTAATTCTATTAACACTTGTAGCAGGATCTTATGTATTTCATCGATATGAGAGTTGGCGATATTTTGATGCATTTTATTATTGTGTATTGACATTGTGAGTATTAACAAATTGTTTTTTTTAAATTAATCTTAATTACTGAAGTAGTAAAAGTGAAAATTTATCAATACTAAATGTTTATGTCAATTTTCGAAAAATGTTTTCTCATTCTTTCTTCACCAAAATTGAATAGGACAGTTAGAGTTGTAGATTTGTTCTATAGACTTTAGAATTAATCAATGCGAGAAATAATTATAAGGAAAAAAAGAATGGGAAAATTTGTCAATGACATCTATTAATCTCTATAATTTTGCTGTAAACGTCAAAAATAAATATAGAATGTCTGCTATTGTTCGGAAGAATAAATACGCATACTGAAACACTATACGAAGTTGCCGAGTATCTACTTGAATAGTTAGATAGATATCTTCCTTGGAAGAAATACTGAAACAGAGTGTTCGTAGGGTCCACCATTGAAACGTTTCGTATGAGTCAAAGAGTAGTTTTATGTCATAGTTTGCTTATAGATGATTAGAAACAAACGGCTTCATTCCACAGTAATCGATACCGAGTTTGGAATGCATCATTGTGATTATGTATCTCACAGCACGCACCCTCATGTCAGTTGTTCTTATTGACATATTCTCTCTTTCGCTTAAAACTGTCAGTTTGGTATCAAACCACGTAGTGTACACTAATCATTTTGCATTTGGTCAATATTTTAATTCATCTTTGGTAAAATGTTAAACTATGAACATTTTTGAATAGTAACAAAAAAAAAACATAGTATCTGATTTCTTGTCAAGGTTACATGAAAAATAAAATACTTGAATGCATCTATTAACTTTTGTTTTTTTTCTCTCTCATTTTAGAACAACAATTGGTATGTAAACAATTGATGTATTTGTTTTTTTACTTGAGAAAGAATTTGCTTTCTTTTCCATCGATAGGTTTCGGAGATTTAGTTCCTATGCAAAAAGAAGATTATGGACGTATTGGTTGGTTGTATATATTATTTTGTATTATGTTTATTTTAACTGGTTTAACAGTAGTTGCTTCCAGTGGTAACTTGCTTATTTTACGTTTTGTTGAAACAAACAGCAAGCGTTCACAACATGAACGTTATGAAATGGAAGAACGTCGCCGTCAACAAGTCCGTATTGTTGGTGATGTGATATCATCGAATGGTCGTCTTGTTACATTAGAAGATGATGAAGATACGCCGTCATTAATTGGACCTGGTGATGCACAACGTATAACGATGGGTCATAGTACAAGTGATTTATCACTGTGTTCATGTCGTGCTCAACCATCATTCTCATCATGTATACCAATAGCATGGAAAACAAAATTTAAGCGTAAACATCAAAATCTATTACAACAAAAAGCAGGCTTACTGCAACCACAAATGATTGTTGTACAATCGTTAAGAGAACAAATTCTTGATTCATTAAGAGGAAAAACTGAAATCGATGAGAATATGGCTTTACAACGATCGTACCTTCAGCTTGATAAAATTCTAAAAAGAAGTTCTATATAAAATTCTTATTTTTATGGATGTGTGCGTGTGTGTGTGTGTGTGTGTTATTTAAATTAAAGAGTAAATTATCATTCCGATATAAGTTTGTATGATATTCTTGTGGTAACTTTATTTTTTATTATCTATTATTTCTTCAACAACATTAAGAGAGACAAAAAAATATAACAATTTCAACTCAATTTTAGATATTTTCAATAGTTATTTCATATATGTTTAAAATAAATGCAAGTTATGATTAAATACTGATACCTATTTGAATCACCTTTTCTTTGAATGAGTTAAAATAAATTTTTGGAACACTTGCTAGTTCAGAAAATTTTCAAAAGAGCTAGTATAAATTTTCTTATATATTCAAATTTTGAAAAGGAAATAGTGGTTTACTATAAACTAGTAACGTGATTAAATCTACTGAAATATTGAATATATGATGAAAAACACTTTGATTTAAAAAAAAAAGCTTTCAAGGGTATCTAATGCCTATGAAACGTCGCTATAGGCTAAATACTAGTTCAGAACTGAATATTCTGAGTTCTCTGAAAATAGAAATGCATCAGTTCTAAAAGAATTCCATACAAAAATCGACGAATTAGTTAGCATTAATCGAGAATTCAGCGATTCCAACCGATTCGGATCTGTTTTTGTTCTTATTTATTACAATCAAATCAACTACAATAAAGAGAATCAATCTAACCGAGTTAAGCCTAAGCGTGTACCTCAATCGTATTGAAAATTTCAGATTTCATGCAATAAACAAAAGTCTACGGAGAGAAAAGTCATTAAAATGGATGTAGAGTTGTTCATGACATCGAATCCAGTTTGTTTTTGAATGAGGCCTAAATATAGCTATCATGTAAATAAAGTCGAATGACGCCTGACAGTAAGGTATGTTCTCTAGTTAGTATACTAAGTGTGTAGGAGAAAAGTCACATAGTATTAATTTATGATTGATAGATTAGAAGCAAAAAACAGTAGCATGACAAAGATTAGCCAGGGTCACAATTTGATATCATTATTTAAATATAGTATAATTTTGTTGTCCTCACAGGAGGAAGATAGATTAAAAACATGGAAGATTATTATCATATAGTTTTTCATATTGTTAATGAATGTTTCTATATGGTAATTAAAATTTATAAAATCTATTCATGAATAAATGACTAAAATGCTATTTTCAAAATGATTAAATATGAATGCATGAATGATGTATTACTTCTATTGTCTGTTTCATGTTGAAATTAGTTTCTTTAATATTAATGATTAAAGTTATTTTCCTGTAAAAGTGTGCATATTTTATCACCAAAAAGTCTCTCTATATTTAACTTTGCACTCTTCGCCATGGCACCTTAATATTATTAAATTCTTGCAACATAACTTTTAACTTCTGTCAATAAAATTCCCTTGAGTCAACACAGTGTATAGTCATTCTGAAGTTACTCTTATTTTAATAGCACTAAATAGATAGATAGATAAACATTTCAGAGAAGGATCTTTTCTATAAAAATATTAATACTAAATAGAAGTTTGATAAAAAATAAATAAATTTAATTATATATTTCTACATAATTTCAGGTGTAAATTAAATGTCTTAATGCTGTTTTTTTTTCTACTAATTTAAATACAATAACAAATTTCGAATTGTTATTTGATTCACGAATCAAGTTATTACTTCAGTCAACATATTCATAGTTCGTTTAATTTTCATTCGACTTTTATTAAATATACCCATCAAAACTTATAATGTAGAAGATAGATGCGAACAGTTGAACAAAACAAAAAAGAAAGAATAATAAATAATATACATATGTTCTTTTAACGTTTAACATAGAATGGACGGAGCTCTATTTGATAAACGAAGCCATTTGTTAAAATTACACATCCTTTTACTACTGTATATTCACTGTGTGTATAAAGTAATAATTGCACTCGGAAAATAACATCATGATACATCTTGTGAAATTGATTAACAATAAGTTCTAGCTGTGGGTGATGATTCTTTTTGATTTTCGTTTTGTATTAAATTGTCAAAGCCAATCAAGGAATTTCTCATCATTTGTGTTAACTCTTCAAAATCAGTACTACTGGTTGTTGTTGTTGTTGTTGTTGTCGTTGCTGTATTATTTTCTGTTCCACTACCTGATGATGAAAAATCTTCTTCAACACCTTCGTCTTCATTTGATGGCCGTCGTCGAGAATTAAATTGATCCTTTATCCATCGATCATCATAATATTTACTTATTTCAATCATTTCACAGCGTTTTGATGGTTCAGGATCTAAACAAGCAAAAATCAAAAACATATTTTATTTCTTTTTCTTTTTAATTATTTACCAAGCATCTTTCGAAATAATCTCATTAATCTATTACTAAATCTATACCATTGAGATGGTAATTTAAAACGACGTTGTATTTGATGATGCCGATGCCATTGTGTATATTCATTAAAATATACATCTGATTCTTGAGCATGTTCCCAAGGAAAATTACCTGAAAGAAAATTTTCTTTCCCCTTATAATAAAGAAAAACAGCAACAGAGCCATTCATTATTTTTCATACCTGTCAAACTACAAAATAGCAAAACGCCAAATGCCCAAACATCCATAGTTGTTGAAACAAGAATATCATTATTGACAGCATTACAAACTTCAGGCGGCGAGTAAGGTATACTACCAATTAGCCGTCTGACGTATGAACCACATTTTCTTGTCATACCAAAATCAATTAATTTAACTCGGTGAAAAGCAGCATCGAAGATCATGACGTTTTCTGGTTTTACGTCTCGATGAACCTATTTGAACAAGAGAGAAAATGTTCAATATTGAATTTAAGATATTTAATGCTGACTATTAGAACGTTAATAAATATTTAATGTTTGATTAATAAGAAAAAAAAAGCTATTCTAAGCTAGACGATCAAAGTCTGCTTTCATATTTACTTGTGTTCTTTTGCTCGTTTAATAAGTGCAGTGCTGGAAATTCGTGAAAATAATATTTTATAAATATTCTCTGCTCAATTCGATTATCAACTAAATAAATATGATGGTAAACAATAAAAACTTCGTTAATGTATTACGCATTTAAGATTATATATAAATCTATTTATAAATAAAGCGATACCAAGGGCAAAGAATTTATACTAGCGTAAATAAAAGTTTTATTTAATGATTTTGTAGAGAATTTTCTCGATTACCTCGTTTTCTTTTTTGTAGCTATTCAGTATAATTCATATCAAGAAATTTTTCAAGAAAAATAAAATTCTGTAGAACTCGATAGATTTGTTTTCTCATTAGATAAAGAAGATAACAGACATACCAGTCCATTATCATGCATAAATTGCAATGCTGATGCTACTTGTTTGATAATGATTTTAACAGCTCGTTCCGGTAGACCACGTTGTGGCGGAATTGATTCGAATAAATCACCCAATGGTGCATATTCTTGTACAAGAACATATGCATCTGGTGTTTGAAAACAACGATCTTCATATGTAGTTATTATTGAACGGTGTGTTGATAGCAACAATGAATAATGATATTCACGTTGAAAATCACGATGTTTCGTTGTTGATTTTTGTAAAATTTTCAATGCACATCGTTGTTGTTGATCGCGATCTAATGCAAGCATAACACGACCATACGTACCAGAACCAAGTTCACGTATGGTACGAAAACGGTCATTGGAATCGGATATTGCTTGTAGAGATTCATCGTTGGATTCCATAAGTTGGAGTTCGGTTTATTTTCGTTAGTGTTTAACACTGATTGTTCGAAACAAATCAATTTAGTCTAGAATAAAGAAACGCAATAGAAAGTTATTTCAATCATCATCTGAATTGTTTTCTCATACAAAAAAATTAATTCATCAAAAAAAGATTTATCAATTAGGTAATCTGACGAAATAGATGTGTGAATGAATATATGCTTGTATTTCTATATTAGGAAAACAACTTTTCAACTGTCAGTATGTCAACAATCTATTGCTCATGATTTAAAGTAATCATAGATTTGCAAGTGCAATCATTGACACGCACATTGGAAACATATTTAGAAAAAAGACGTTACGTCGAAAGCAAGAAAAAGAACTACCAGTAACAATTGTGTGTCAGATCCTTGCAAGATTATGCTCAGAAATAATAAAAGAATTGATCTGATAAAAAAAATGAAAAAATAACACAAAAGCAAACCTACTCTCTGCCTTTTTACAATAATTATGAGTATTATATTATTTATTAGAAGGAACTTAACTATCCGACAGAATGAATAATAAATAGTTTATCACCAAACTGGCTTTGAAGATACCCACAGGAAAACAAAATAAGCGGAAAAAAATATTTCCACGACACGCTTTCTCTCTTTCATTCTACTTTTTATAGTATTGGCACGACTGTTTGGAAAGTTAAAATAAAAATATTTCGCTTTCTCGTTTGCCTCGTTTAATTTCAAATAGAAAGCAAATATATTTTTGAATCTTATGCAGGATCAGTGGATAAGTCTAAAAAAGCCTTGAAATTTATAATCATCTTCTCTCTCTCTCTCTCTCTCTCTTTATTCCTATTTAAAGTATAATCAACTAAAGTGTTTTATTAATGCAACTAATTATTTCACATACATAAAATTAATACATCCATTGACATTCAATTAAAAACAGCTTAATCAATATAAATCTCGGATATCTATTCTAAAATTATAGTCATTTAACTAACTATGCACTTGTTGTGAATAAAATGATTTATGAAATGTTCATATATGAGGGACTGAGAGTGTGTGACAGCGATAGAAACAAGAAAAGAGAGAGAAAAAAGAGAATTAATGATAGTTTTCCGCTTTTTCTTCTTCTCATCTGGTCATCTGGTCTTCATCCTCTACTAGTTCTGTCGTAGGCGTATAGTAGTTATATCACACTCACGTACATGCACAAACATATGCTCGGCAATTATTTATTCTTGTTGCTTGCGCATTTCTTTTCTAACGCACTCACTTGTCTTTGCTGTTACTATTAATACGACTAATTTTCTCATATTTCCAGTCTCGTTTGTTTTCTATGCATACTTTCGGCTTACATTTCTCAATTTTTATAGAAAACAGACGTCATCATTGTATAACTAAAAAAGTCCTAGGGTGTTTGTTATTCAAACAAAAACAAAATACTACTTAACAAAAAGATTCGTACTTGCACAACTAAATAGTATGAAAAAAAAAAAGAGAAGATCATACACGTTCCATAAGAAAAAATGAATCATTTTTCTTTCTATTTGAAACCACCGATTTTTTTTAATATACAGAGTGATACGAGCCGTAGAACATATGTTACAAATATCAGGGAAACAAAAGATATATTATTATCTTTTTTCTCTATCGTATGAATCAATGAAATGTCCTTTTTGTTCCTTTTAAAAACTAATGAATATAAAGGTCATTTTTATCGATATTAATGGAATGTTTCATGAGAATAATAAACTACGTTTTCAGGAAAAACAATATAGTCAAAATTTGACAAAGAATAGTAATCCTGATGAAGTAATCATTCAGGAAAATACTTCAATGTCGGATATCAAAAGGTCATTATTTTTCTTTTTCTTTTTGCATTTTATTTCAAAGCACAGATTGTATTCAGTTTTTGCTTAGATACCAATGAATCATTGTGTAACTAGTGGCACCAGTATATAGAAATTTATTTCACAATACTTTCTCTAATAGAATTTTATAGAATTAAATAGATTTTAAATGATTTTCATATGAAGAAAACTGTATTTAATAGGTAGCTAATAAAACATGTTAAACTAATCGAAACGACTTACCCATGGAGTTATAACAGGCAGCTATGCAATAAATATACCAAGTAGAATTTGCGTAGTATGAAATGGATATGATTGTGTCATAATATAAAAGACAGAAAAACGAGAGCATGACTACGTCATTAACGTAAGACACCATAGAGTTGTGCTGAATGCTCTATTGCATCTTCTCTTGAACGAAAATAACGAGTAAATTTAAAGGATGTTAATCTCTTAAAATATTCGCTAAGTCATGATTGGTCACAGTGCAGCTGAGAAAATGAATAAGAACTTCTTTAATGGAATGTGATGAAAAGAAAGTATTTTAGATAGAAATCAGAATAAAAACTGATCAAAAACCCGATTAAATCTTTTGTAATATAGACTTATAAGAATGTAATACATTTATCAAGACCGTTACACAACGCCCGGGTAGCTCAGTCGGTAGAGCGTGTGGCTTTTAACCACAATGTCCAGGGTTCGAGCCCCTGCTCGGGCGTGATATCTTTTTTTTTATTATACTTAACCAGTGTTTCACTAATATGATAAAGGTTGAAAATAATTATTTGATTATTAAAATTCTCTTAAGTAATTAAAAAAATCCAAAAAACTTTCAGTAGAATCAAATGAAGCTCGCATAAAACGGTTAGTAAAGTATGCCACTTGTAACTGCAATGCTCAACGTTCAGATGTTTGTACCCATATTGTTCTACTTTGTAAGATAGAAATTTTGGAAAAAATTAATTATTTAGTTTTACTTTTTTTTATATCAAGTAAAAGGAATGAAAAATCCTACTTGCGTATGCTCTTGAAGAAGTATTTTGCATGAGGAAGAAAGCGAAAGAATAAATGACATGAGATTTCTGCTTTTTTTTTTGTCAGAAAGTATTTGAGAATAAAACTGAATGAATTCGACGTCGGACGGATTCTCGTCATACATAGAGGATGTGCTCATGATTGAGTCAGCGATAAATATGCCTATCCGCTTATGTCTGTAGATAGAAGAAGGTTAAGATAGAAACACAGGACGAGCAAAGGCAAATAAAAGACATGCTGCTTAATGTGTTCAACGTAGATGTTCGACAAGGAACGAAAGATAATAGAGAGAAATGTGTCAAACCTTGAATGCACAGAGCATATGTGCTCTGTCAGTAATACTCGATTGCCATCATCTCTCTTATAACATTTTGTGTCTTCTTCTAGTAGGTTTCTATTCATACTCATGGTCATTATTCTCAAATAGTAATATAAAAGAGTAAATGAACCGACTTTGAACTTTGATTTTCTAATGAACGAACTCTTTTCTTCTTCTTCTTCTTGTATCATCTCAACAGAGAAAAATAATGCCGATGAAAATGTCTTATTTAACTCTATGTCATTTACATACATGAAAAGAAATAAAAAAAAAAAGAGGCGATCTAGTTTTGAATAAGATAAAAGTTTGACGTCACATTCTTCTATAATTAGAAATATTCCAATGAGCTATTGCGCATGGAATTTAAAAAACTGATGAAGTCTAAGAAAAAAAATGAGGCAACATCATTGAAACGCAATGCTTACTTACTACGAAATATACGACTGATGAATAGAGTAGAAAAGTTGAGAGTCTATCTTTTGATGTTTACTTTTTCTCATTCGACACAAACGATTATGTTCTGAACGAATGTAATCGCAAATAGCGATGATTATAGTCGTTTCACCGTTATATTCGTTTTGAATTAATTTGTTGTCTAACGGATTTCGGCTTGAACTAGCGATGACACGACATGAGTCTTCAATGATTAGACAACATCCGATTGAAATAGAACTAAAAGCAAAATTTGATCACATATTCTCTCGGTGAGTTTTCTTGCTCTTAAAAAAAAAGAAAAAAAAATTTTTTTTTTCAACAATAAAATAAAAAACAACACGACGCGCTAAAAAGGAGATTCGCATAAGTGCTCATAATTTATGTTCATGTCATACATGAATTTTAATAAAGAACTATGCTTTTGGTATTCGAGAAAAAATCTCTCTGTTTGTGCTGTGCGGACAAGATAATAATTAAAAATGATTAATTATATGAAAGTCGGAAGTCAAATGCGATTACAAAACAGAATGACATGTTATATTTGCTATGCTTTATTTTGAATTACACATGATCTACTGCACAGTTCTTAACATAAAATATATCTTCGTCTATATTTGTTGTTTTTCTCTTTTCATATTCATATAGTAAATTTCATTTGATAAAACATATTATCTCTTACTATAAATATGTTTATAGATGCACGTTAACTTAGTCAAATTGTCTATTGACAAAGATTTTATTTCATTAATTAATATTGATTTAATTAAATGGATTACAATTGCGCACATCAGATTGTCTCTGAAAAATGTAGATGATTTACATAACACAAACTATATAACTGACCTACTGCAACGAATGGACTGAATCGGGAAGAGAACGAACAAACAAAGTCATCGACAGACGATCACACAATCATGTTCATATTATCTTGTTCTTCTATACGCTAAGTATTGTATTACGTTGAAATGATGACGTGCAATATTTGACCATTATATCTCTATATTTATTACCATGAGTAAATAAATAAACAAGCTTTGATAAATAAGAATCAGCAGCATGAATATTAAAATTTTAGCATGGATCGTGTCAAAGCTCTCTAGACCATGCCAGATATTCCTTGGAAAATATTGAACCTGATGCACTCAAATCTATGCTCATCTACAAGTATTTATTATAAGCTAATTGTACATTTCAATAACTATAAAGTGAGATTAATTAATATAACATTTTATATTACTTGAAAAGACTCGAGTAAAATTAGGAGTTCAAATAGTTGGAACGTTACAAGGCATCCTCTCTCATTTTATTATCGTCAAGCTGAGTAGTTGGTTTTGCAAATCATTGTCTTAAACGAGAAAAATTGCTTTTAGTCAAAAAAGCGAAAGATAATGGAGAATACAAGAAAAAAATATGCTTTTAGTTTTTTTTTCTTACTGATCTCTTTACTTTATTGTTTCTAAATTATTATGAATTTTAAAAATAGAATATCAAGTAATTACGATTACCAACTCATATTATTTTAATCTAATATTTAGACAGTACAGTTATGGAGAGATACTTTTTCAATAAGAAGCCAGTCAATGGAAATATTTCTTTTTGATGAATCATTCTATGAAATAAGAACTACTGTTAGTGATTTAAAAAAAAAGTATAATGAGATTGTCAGGTGCGCAAAACTAAGCATATTCGGTTCGGTGACATGTTCTACATGTTCGTGTGTTCGAATTGATGAAAAAGACTAAAGAAATGACTGAAATAAATGCATAATAAACATGTTAAGGTTGTAGTTATTTATTCACGTGAAATTCAATTCATTAGAAATTTGAATATTTTTCCTATTTTCAATATTTTTTACTAATTAAATACGCTACTGTAAAGATTAAATTTAGTCCTGCAATGTTTTACTTTTGCATATTTTAATAAAATATTAAAATGAAAATGTACCGTTAGGCAATTGAATTTCTTCAGATTGACATAAAATTCAGTAAGTGTTCTATTATTTTCGTTTCTATTTTTCATGGCGAACTGAAGATTGCATTACATGCATACTTATATTACTTGAATGAATGCATGAATAAAAAGCTCTATTTCATCAGTCATTCGTTTCTCGTTACTGACAAGAAAAGATTCATGCTGACATTATTGCTCATAGTTAGCGCTCTCACTATTGCTACTATTCAAGGAGAATCGATAACATCGTTTGAAGCTGGAACAGGATTTAGTTCATGTGTAGGATATTGTTATCAATCTGTTTATATTAATGCATCGATGGTTATAACTGGAAAATCAAGTAAAACTAATCTTACTGATTATCCTGAAATTCATGAAGCCTATCCATTTGCATCATCACAATTTAATGAACTTGTTGAACTTGTTGGAAGTATTCAAAGATGGAAAAAAGTTGATACACCAATAGGTTGCCCAGATTGTTATAATCAAGGTGCAGAATGGATATATATTGATACCGAGGACCAATCCATATATGGCGTTCAATTCGAAGCTAACTCAACAATAGTTGGTTTCGAAACATTGGTTGAGAGTCTTCGAGCTCTTCGTCAAACTTTTATTCATTAAATATTGTATTCATTTGATTTTATATTGATTCATCATCTGTGAATCTTTTTACCTAATATAAAATCTCGTCTTTTGAGTACGATATGGTTAAAAATAAAATATAAATATATATATATATTGTTTTTTTTTTTTCTTGAACAATTCTATCATGGAGAAATATCTAAAATACAGTTTGTAGTTATTTTTTTCAAAATATTTATTTTTTCTCAAAAGCAATCATAGGCAAATCAAATCAATCGCAGGCACGCTTAACTAAATATTTTTCTTCGAAATAGTAAATTTAATGTATGTACGCCTATGTAATCAAACAGCGCCACCATTTTTACGTTGATAAGTACGATCTTCAACTCTGCCGGAAACTGTTTTATCTTTCGTATTTGGTTTATTTATTGAAGTATTTCCTGTTAATGATGATGATGAACGTATCATAGGTAAATTATTTGCTTGCTCAGGCTGTTTGACAGTAAGTGGCTTATGTCGTTGGGCATACGGTGAATCATTCAATTTATTTTCACTGGGGATTAAATCAATAGCGTATTGAAGACATATACGCTGTATATTAACAGCGTTAGTATGATGAAAAGGAAGTGTTGGACGTAAAATTAATAATTTTCCATTTTGCGGTGAATTACTGCGAGCAACCATCGATGTTTTTGATGGATTTTGTTGTGAGTGAGGAAATTGCTTTGGTAAAATTTCTTCAATTCTAAAATATAACAGATGCAATACTATTTAGAATTACAAAAATCAGAAATTGAAAACAACTTGAATGCATCTGTTGATATATAAGTAGGATGTTTTTTTGGTGATTTCGATTTTGGACATAATTGTGATTTTCGTGTTTGAATATTTTTATCGGTATCATTTACTGGACGTAACTCGTCATGTTGTTCACGTTCCATTCGTCGAAAAATACATTCTTGTGTTTGTGTTTTACGTGATACACGTTTAGGTCGACGACGTTTTTTTTGTTTTTCTGTTATTATTTGTTCTGTGTCCGATTGTGTATGACGTTCGAAGTCTGCCGATGATTGAAGCGCTTCTTGGTTCTTTTGCGGTTTCTGTTTAGTTGATACAAGAGAAGTTTGATTGCTATCTTCATCGTTGATGTTTTTAACAAGAACAGTAACATTAACATTAACTGCATCATCGTTGTCATCGGTTTTTTTATTTGAACGTTGAACTCGACGAGCATTCGTATCAAGATCTGTGTCTGGTGTTGTTGTTGAAGTTCGTTCTGTTGTTGTTGTTGTACGACGAATTTTAGGTTGATGTTGACCTGAACTTGGTTTTATTCCTTTCGATGGTTTTTGAGAAGTTGATTCTAGAAAAAGGAAATAATAATAAGATATTAATTGATGTCACACTCTCAGTAATATTCTTAAAGCAACTGTGTTGGAATCGTATGAAATTTACAGAATGTAATGAGCCTGTAGTAGAGAAATTTTTGCTAAGGTTGCTCAATTGTATATGATGATAGATTTCGAGAGAGGTTTACCATGCAAATATCAAGAATAAATTATATAAGGTCTTTATTTTATGTAGTTAGGTGTGTTTTTATTTGAAAAAAATGAAACAATTTTGAGCGTAAGACTTTTGTTTTTAAATTGAATTCCTTTGTTTTACGCAAAGGCAAAAGTATTAAAAGTGTACTGAACTGAAAAATACTAAAAAAAAGGTGATTTGTGTAAAAGTATATATTTATGTCATACAATCAAAATTAATTTAAAACCAGAGCTTTCTGAAGCATTGAGATTTTGCCAGTTGTTTCAACTGGAAAAACAAGCAATTAATTACAAATAGATTCTGAACTGCTAGTGACACAAAATCTTTTAGGGAAGAGCATGTAAGTCAAATAAAAAAGGATTGCATTGTCTGCCAATTGTTTAGATATCTTCTTGGTATCGGATAATCGCACAAGATGAAGAAAACAAAGTTGAAAATCTATCTTCTCTCTAATTTCGTAACAAAACAAGATGCCTGTGAGGTCTCTGACTATTGTTATCCTATGGTTTCTTTTTATTGAGGTAAATTGTAAGAGAAATGATGACGGAATAGAGTTACCTTGTTGTTTTTTAGAAATATGACGTGTGTCAGCCTTATAATCTACTCTTTGATCGGTACTAGTTTCAACATCGATTTTTTTCGATTTAATACGTTGTGGCTGTTTTCGTACAGATCCTGTATTAACATCGGATGCTGAATCGATCGATGCATCGTCAACAAGTGGAATATAATTCAAAGAGTCAGCACTGTTACTTCGATGTTGCTCTTTCTTTTTTTGTTCATCTGAAATTGAAATGCAAAATTTAATAGAATAGATAAAGATAAAAAGTTTTAATAATTTGACTAGTACTTCGTTTTCTAGTTTTTGGTGTGATGATATTATGTTCAGCAAGTTGTACAACATTTGGTGATTGTGGTCTTGATGATGGAACATCGTCATCAGTTAATTGAAGTGGTGGAATATGAATTTGTTGAGTAGCTTGCGATGTTTGATTGTTTTCTCTGGGTGTTGTTCGCGCCGATGAAATTATTTGTTTAGCTGACGTTCGAACAGGAACATCGACATCCGTTGATACTCGGCGGCTACCTTCATTGTCAGTCGAAATTATTTGTTCTTGTTTTGAAGTACTCGTACGACGAGAACTAGATAAGAAAAAAAATACTAATTGAATGTAAAAGAAAATATGATTTGTTTTATGGAACCTAGATAATTGTTGTTGACTTTCTCGACGGCTAACATGTGAAAAGAAAAAGAATCGATAATAAATTATCCATTGTTAGTTCATCATTCTATTCCTCATCAAAATCAACGAATACGCTTATTGTTAATTTCTCACAGACACTTATGTATGTAGATGAAGTTGGCTTATTCCTGAACTTTTTTTTTCAACAGTTCGTTCTATCCGTAACTCTATTAAAAAACGACAGTTTGTTTCTGTTTTGTAACTGCAAAAAATTCATTCAATAGGGAGTGAATTATATGTACTTTTCTGCTTATGAGTTATACACACCTAGCATTTGGCTGTTGTTCAACTAAACTTGGCTTTCGACTAGAAGATTTGCTAAAAGTAGTAACCAATATATATATACGATATATATTTAATTAGAAAATGAAATGTGTCTTTCAAACCTCGGCGATTTTTTTTCTTGGTCATCAGATGAATTTTGTTGAATAGTAGATTTTTTCTCACTAGTAATACTCGCTCGGTTACTTGATACTTTTTGTTCTGATGCATTACTTCCTTTGCGACTTGAATTTAAATTCAGTTTTTGCTGTTGACTGGTATTACTGCTACGGCGACTTTTTGATGAAGCTGCATCGCCATCAATCATCTTTTTATTGCTAACTGAAGATTCTGTCGAAGTTTTACGATTCTTTTCACTTGTTGGTGGTGGACTATTGATATGTGCATTATCAGTCTCGTTTGTTGGTATTTGAAGTTGTTCACCTGATTTTATCAGTTTTGATTGTTCATTGGTAGTCGCAAGATCATTGTTCAATTGAGTTGTAGATGATTCTGATTTATTGTCGTTAACGTTTGATTTCATAGCACTCGATGATCGAGATGTTTGCTGTGGATCAGTTTTATTCACACTCTCGCGTCGTGATGATGATGACGCTTTTTCACCGGTCAATGGTGATTTTGGCCGTTGAATAACCATAGATTGCTAGAAATAAATTTTTTATTCAGAATGAAACCATACATATTCTAATTATGTAAATACATACTGATTGTTTACTTGATGTAGATGGTATTCTCGATACTGATGGTTTAGGTGATGCAGCAGTAAAACGTGTTGTTTCATCAAGATGATTGTTTTTTGTAGCACTTGATGATCGTTCAGTATCATCATTTGATTCTTTTATCGACCGAATAGAATCACGATCAAACGTACGATCTGTATTATTTTCTTGTTCTTGTTGTGATAAATTATTAGTTGTATTAGTATTTTTTGCTATTTTCCGACCACTACTAAGATCACTAGTATTATCTTCATCAGCCGAATTTTCATCTTGTAGCACAGGTAATGTTGATGGTTGTTCAGCTGGATTATGATGATCAATAAGAACTGATTCACTCATAGATCGAACTGGACCTTGATTTACATGATTTAATGATGAATCAGTTATGTTCGGTGTCGACCTATCTTGATCAGTAATTAAACGGTCAGATGCATTTGAACTTCTCGGAAGAATATTATCATCATCAGGTATTATTGATTCCGATTGTAATTCATTGCTAAGTTCATTTGTTTTGCTATCGGAATCTTCATTATTTGAATCATCATTATTATAGGATGTGCTTAATCCAATGGGAACAGTTTCTGTTTGTTGTAGTGCACCTTCAAAAACGAAGAAATTCAGTAGTAAAATTTTAGAAAAACAAATTGTTATTTTTGTCGTACCTTCAACCAGTGGATTATTGACTAGAGCAGCTAATGCTCCTAATCCAGTTGTTGACGCTTTTTTTGAAGAATCCTCACTATCACTCATGATTGTCAATAGACGTGTTTTAAAAATTAACTAATTACGTTCAGAATCCAAATCTACAAGCAGCAAACATCTAAATCAGTAATAAATAAAGTTGAAAAAAAAGTTAAACATATAAGATTTAAAAGAGACTATTCCATAGTCTCTACGACGACTCCTTGTGACAATCAATCTGATCATTATCGTTGCTTCATATGCGCAAATAAATAGAAAAAAAAGAACTGGCAACGACAACAACAACAAAGCATACTAACGATCAGTGTGTTTCTATGATGAAGTTAATGGAATACAGAGATTTTGTTTTCTTTTCATCTAAATCGAAAAAAAAGCGAATAAGACGAAAAGCAGGTAAAGAAAGAAAAAAGAGAGACACCGGTTGATGTATAGTGAAATAAATTTATTGTATCATAGTGATAGAAATGCGCAGATATAAAGTTTCAATTAAACAAATAGAATAATATGAAATGAGTATTTTACAAGTCAAAGAAATTTTCTTTTCCTATTGACTCAAAGATCAATAATAAAATATGAAAAGTTTTTTTTTTGCTACAAATAAACTTTCCAGATCAGTATTGTCGAAGTATTTACTTATGATTTTTTTTGATTTCTATCTGTACCACACTGTTTACAATTGATTGTCGATGTATGTCGTCAAGGAAAGGTGTTGTTAAGGAATGCTGTAATTGTCGTCAAAAATAAGAAAATTTTAAGGCATAAATAACCAACATCCGTTGTCGACTATTTCTCACTTTTGATTTTTACATTAGCAATTATTAGAAGAAATGCAAAGAACGAAAGCACAATATAAAACATCACGCCCTTTCTCCTTTGCCTCTATATTTTGAAGCATGTTCCAATTGCGTTTCAATCGCTTTCAAAAATGAGTTCAGAAACAAAATGAACTTGGAAGGTTTTTCTCTTTCTAAGAATAACATAAAATGACATAAACTTGAATTAAAATCTCTATGCCATAATAGCAAACATAGAAGTAACATTCTTTTTCTGCTTACTCTTCAAACAACATAAATAAGAGCTGCTTATTAAAATAGTGTCTTATACTTCTTATCCAGTTAATTCATGTTTCTTTTTATTTCTTTTTAACAAAAAAAACACCAAGAAAAAAAAAGAAAACCAAGAATAACAATCGAACAAAATCCCATTATTCAAGATAGAATTTAAATTTTGAATCGAATACATGTAAATGAATAATGAGGCCGCGTTTTTCATGTGGATGTCTTTGACACGTTATTTTTCCATGGATTTCTTCACCTAACAATATAGAACAAATCATTTAGTTATAGATATTTTAAAGAAATATTGTTCTTACCTTCTTGAACATTGTATAATCGAGGTAAAAAGAATACAGTCTGCTTCCAATGAGTACCTGGTGATCGTGGCGATGTGGAAAAATGTACCTAGAAAAATAAATATTTTCGCATTTGTTTCAATATGAAATCAATGTGTAAGAAAGACTATTTATCTTCGTGATCTTATATCTACCTTTTCAATAAGATTCTTGGCAAAATTGACATCAAAATGGCAAACAAAACCTGATATCGTACTAGATTTAAGTGCTTCAAGAGTGAATGGTTGTGTAAAAGTTATATCATCATTTGAACATGTATAAATATCTAAAGTCTAAACATAATATAATTATAGAATAAAAAAACGAATTCTAAAAGATTTCATTGAATTTACTTTAATACAACAATCACTAGTCATGATATCTTCAGCGGGCACGATCATAACATGACCATCAGCAAGAATATTTTTTGCAACTGTATTCATTTCGAAACCATAGACATCTGACCAATAACCAATGTGTTCATGATGAAGACTGTCGGAATGAAAACCAGACAGATGTATAGAGAAATCGTCGGGTAACACTACAATAAAAAAGATACATTTTTTATAATCATTTTTAAAGTTTTCATCTTGTTCACGAAAAGGAATCATTTTTTTAAATTAATACAAAAGAAAAATATCTACACGATAGTTTTGTAAAACATTTATAATGAAAATATACTTCGTTGGTATTGCTACTTTATGCAAACTCTATTTTTTTAATTACAGATATCCCTCAGGACTGCGAAAGTTTATTATGAGGCATATCATCAATGTTTCTTTAAAGTCTACTTCGAATAGGACCCTTCTGATATCTGATACAATCTAAAATATATTATGCGGATAATCATTGAAACATATAGCAACACATCTTTTTCTATCATTGAGTAGATAAAAACTTGTGAAGAAAATAGTAAACTTGGAATGAGTGGTTAAATATTAATTTCTACTTAATATTTACGAATGAAATAAATTGCTTACCCAAACCAGTCTCCTTTTCTAAGTACGCATTACGAGCGAAGATGATAGATTCCAACATGCATTCAAACAATAGAAAATAACCTTGAAAAACAAATCACGATTTTAATTCTATGTTTTTCTCTAATATTCTCTCTTACCCATCCATTCCGATATAATAATATCAACCTTTACAAGATAAAATCCAAACATATAATTTATTTTTGTGAATAAAACCTGTTCATTACTTTATCAACTGGCAGTTTGACATCTTCGATTCTTCCATGAATAAACACAATTTTCGATTCATCAATATTATTTTCTCTATATAACAACATTTTTTTTATTTCAATACTTGATTCTGAAAAACAAAAATTATTTTTTACTTCGCAATAGCCATTGCATCATAAATCATATCTGACATATCAACAGCAATAACCATTTTTGCATGTCCATATTTGATACATGCCATAGAAAGAATACCTGTTCCACAACCAACATCTAATATGATTTTATTACGAAATATATCAACATTTTCTTGTATTGTTTTTAGATAACTTTCAGTACGAACGGTATCCTAGAATTGTAACAACAACAAAAAAAACTTTTAAATAAAAATTCATGAATTTTCTTTTGTACTTACTTTACCTGAAGCATTTCTTTATGAATATCATAATGATTATATGTAGCAAAATAATCCTTATCTTGAATATCATCCTTAGTTTTGACATTCGGTGATGTTGTTGTTGTTGCACCGGTAGATTGATCATCTAATAACCTTGATGTCATAGATCTATAATAATAATAATAATAGGTATCATATATTTGAGTTCAATGTAAATTAATTAGTTCTCTTACTTTAACGTTTCAACCATTTCTTCTAATTCTCGAATTCTTTGATTTGCTTTTGCTAATTGATCATTTTCTTCAATAGATTTTGATATTGTTAATCCACCGAGTTGATTTAAATCTTCCTCAATATCTGAAATAAAGTATTGATATAATATAAAATCATCTAGTTGTTATTACCCAATTGCAATGCTGGATCATTATCAATAACTGTCTCGAAATATTTATCATCGGCCCATGGAGGTGATGTTGATTGTTTCAATTGTTTTAAATCATCAATCGAAGGTTTCTAAATAAAGAAAATTAATTCTGCAAGTTTATCTCTTTGTTTTTCTAAATAAAAACTAACTTCACGACGAATATAATTAATTAAACGGATATAATCATATTGTGAAACAATTTTATGTGTTGTAAGAAATTGCACAAGATTAAAATCTGATTGATAAGCACGAAACATTTCAATTACATTCGGATATGTATCTGACGAAAACAATCCTTGTACTTGTTCAAGTACATTCATTTCTTCTTCTTGTTCGTCACTAGAGTTTTCTTCCTCGGTCTCATCATCATCATCTGCATCTGCATCATTAGGTGCATTTTCTCGATATTCATTGTTACTTGTTGCTGACATATCTAAAATAAATACATGTGTATATACGTAAATACTTCAATATATCATGAAAACAAATACTGTCCATAGTTGCATTAAAACTGATCAAAACAAAACGTCAAAAAGGAAAGAAAAAAATTAAAAGAAATTTTAGTTAGTTATTTTTTTTATCGGGTGATGATGCTGGCTGTTTTCGAAGTGCCATCATTATTTGACGTCTTGCTGCTTCATCAAGTTTATGTATACCAGTTAAATGTTGACCCATATGACGAGATGAAATCGGTGACTTCCAACAAATAGCTTTCGAATGACGTAAAGGACATTGAATATAAAATGTATCATTTAGTAATTGCTCATCGGGACGAAACACTAGTCCAGGCTTATTTTTTACAATGGCTTCAGATAAACGTTGAGCACACGAACGTTTCATTTGATGATACACAACTTAAATAGAGAAAATTTTAAAAAGTCATATTTTTATACTATTATGGGGTTAGTCATTTCTATTAACTTCTATTTCGAGTAGGAATTTATGAGTTAATGTATTTAAGGCAATAGATTATCTTGGCAAAATCTAGATCTCTTTTTACGGCGAAACACTTTACAATCGAGATATGCTCACATCAACAAACATTCAAACTAAATCAGCACTGACCAAAATGATCATATAGGCAAACATCTTTTGGTGTAATTAATGGTGCCCCAATTGGTTGATTAGGCTGTGTACAAAGACGAATTTTATGTTCAGCTGTAATCCCAAATTTTCCATATTGATTCAATGGGCATTGTGCACGATAAACAGTTGGATGTGTTGCAATGAGACTTGCAGATTGAGATGAAAATAGATCAATATCACCTTCTTCATTTTCATCAGCAAGTAGACGTACAATTTGCATTGTTGGTGAATGTGTTAATTGATGATACTGTATTAAATGTTTATCTAATAACAATAATCAAAAGTTGTTTTATAAAGCTAAACTAAAAAGATATGTATTACAAAGATTAATTGGTGCTGTAACGCGTGTACATGGAAAATGACGAATACCATGTTTATTCGGATCGAGACCATAAGTTCGTGTTGTTAAAGGACAACACCCTTCATATTTGTAACGTTTAAGTTGAAGTATCTATTAGAAAACGAAATCGATAGAGAGAAAAGAGGAAGTCATTGCTTATTTACTGTAGATTTTTTTGTTGTCTGTTTATTGTTTCGACTAACTTTTGAATATGAATGATCATCGCTATGGTAAAAATCAAATTATTCGATTTACAACGAAGAATATAATCGCAAGTGTACATACTAATCTGTATGTACATTTGATTCACAATTCATTGTTTCATCATTGATATTATTTGTAACTCTTTCAGGTTGTTTTGAAGTTTGCTCAACGAGTAATTGATTAAGAACAACAACATCGCGAAGAGAAGAAAGATCTAAATTTATTAATTTTGAATATGATTGATCAACCTCTATGTGTTTATTACTGTTTGCAATGTCATCTGAAACATCACAAAAGAAAAACTATAATAGATTTTACGTTCATACTTTAGTATAATAATCACCTATAGTAGATTTATAGTTTTCGTATTCATTAACTAATTGATCTATGCTATCAAGAAATGTAAGTAATGATGATGTTGGCTGTTGGCGTGCAATTTCACAGTCATATAATTGTATTAATCTTGACTTTTGATGGCAAAGTCGGTGAATAAAATCTTGTGAATTGGCATTTGAAGCAGTATTATCGCCATCAAATGAATTCGAATTTTGTGGTGTAATCAGCGGAGTTGGAAGAAAATCTTGTTTTGATTCTTCTGCCGGATTAACACAAACTACTAGCTGAGTGTTTGGATAAATTGAAAGTTGCGGAGATATTAGATGACTAGATGATAAAGAAGAGATTGTTGACATCAGAAAAGTTTTATTCTCGAAATACTAGAAAATAAAACTTGGCTTAGCTTGGTAGGGATAGGAATCTATACAGCCAACAGCTGATCAAAACTCAGGAGGTTAAGGGAATACTTAAACAGACCAATCTGGTTACAAGATATGTTCCGTATGAGAGAGACATCTGTGAGAAAAAGATTTCTTCTCGTGATAATCGTCTGGCTGACAAAATTTTGTAGATTCATATAACGTTAAGTCAAAACCAAAATCAACTGATAGACTAATTCGATGTCTAGCAACACTAGTTGAAGAATATTGAATACAAGATACAATTACTATTTAGTCTCTATCATTGTTGATAGCCGTTCTGATTGACATTCTTCGCTTTTGTGCCTCTGTTGTTTGTACCCATGTAATAAAAACCGCATGAAAATCGGCGGTTAACCGCGGTTTTACCGGTCCGGTTACCGACTCTCATTACCACAGAACGGATAAATACCGCGGTTTACCACAAAAATTGATCCGGTATTCGCAACATGGGTAATCAACATTTTTCTGTTGTTTCTTATAGAATCATGGGTCTCTGAGTCAGACGAGTGAACCTTTTTATTTAACGATTACATATGGAGTGTATTTAAAGAAAATAATAAGCTGAAAATAATGAAGCAAGCTAAACGAAGATATTTCTGGTTTTTCAGAGATCTTCGAAGAATTTCATTATAAACTATTTTATGCATAATATTCGTGACTAAAAATTAATTCATTAGACATTTAACCATTATTACATCAATCATTTCCATCTTCTGTGTTGGCATCGGTATCGAATTCGCTCTCTGCATAGCTCTTATCTTCAATTTCACTATCTCGACCACTAATATTCTCACTGGTACCAGAAAAATGTTCGACTGATTGTTGTTCTTTCGTGCCATTATCATTTTTCGTCAAGATGTGAATCTTTTCTGAAATATTTTTAAACTGATTAGAATTGTTAGCGATAATTTCAGCCAAGAATTGTTCCGGTTTCATTGTTTGATGAAGGACAAACTTGGTTTCATCGATATCGGCGATAATTGCAAGATTTGATCTTCTAGCAAATGAAAAAAATAGTTGACAAACAGATTCAATTGTGTAGGGTGGTGGCTGATCTGAATGTGATAATTGATCTAAACATCTCTGAATCAATGTGATAATGCTTTTGTACCATTGGTTCAATGGAGGATCAAATCTTAACGTATTTTCACTCATGAGCTCGCATAAAAAGTTTAAAGCTATCGGAACGTCGATATGTACCAACATTTGTTTCTCCGGGAATGCCCAATCAAGCGTCGTCAATAGTTTCGATACGAGAACGTGCAAAGTTTCATGTTGACATAGACCACGCTCGGCAGCTGTTTCCAGCCGTATGAGACCGTTAATCATGTCAGGTATTAGTAATAGCAGCTCATCAGAGAGACGAGCTAAATGAACCCCAAAGAATGGCTCGAAAAATGTATGCAGTGGTGAATAGTATTCTTCTTCTTTACATTTACTTTTGACTGATTCGGTTATTTTTTCTGTGATGGTCGTTAAATAAGTGTCCAGACTACAGCCGCTTTGAGTGCTAAACAAATATTCAATAAAATATTGTTGATCTTCTTTTCGTTTGTTCCATAGAATATTCAACTTGTCTATCGCAGCACATTTATTCAAATAATTTTCTGCTAGAGCATATACATGAATCATTGCAGAAGATATAAATTCATTTGAAATTCTAGACGGTGACGATGAACTAGCACGTAACAACTGATTCACGTTTATGCATACACTTGGTACCACTTTTGTTACAAGAGAAATGCAGTTCGTATTTATTTCACGCTCCAGTGATTGTATGTTTTTCATCTGCTGAGCTACAAATTTATCACCTTCCTTGTCAGTGGCAAGCAACAAATCAGCCACACACGGAGCTGTGCATTGTTTGTATGATGCAGAAACATATTCATCATCGCGATCACACGAAAATAGTCTAGGAAACACGGTATTAAACAACCAAATATGCTTATGGAACAATGCCCGCGGTTCTGATGTGTCATCTACGTTCATTTCGTCTACATACGAGTATAATTCCAACCACACTCTCAATTCGAACGATTCGTTACTTAAATCGTTCTTCAAAACGCTTTTACGAATTTCACCCACAATGATTTGTCGATCGGATTTCAATAATAGAAATAGATGATGGCATAGAGAGCTAGCCATTGTAAAATGCTGATTATCCATTGTTTCATTGGCTATTAGTTTCACAGCTTCTTCATAATTGGCACGATTATAGAACTCTCCAAATTTAAATAATTTTTTAAGGCCTTTGATATCACGAGAATTTAACCAAACCTTATAAGAAGCAAAATAATTCGAATCATCATTCACATTCTGTTCATTATTTCGTGCATTGAATAATGGCGGAGGGGATTCCCACCATATAATCGGCCCATTCTTTTTTGAAGGTGGTACAAACAACCAGCTCTCTGTTATTGATATCCATTGATCATGGAACACAGGATGATGTGCAATATCAAAATAACTATCTAAAAAGAGTTTTGTTACTTTATATTCTGGACAGAGCATCGCATATTTCAAGTGATTTTTGCAATCACGAACTAATGGATCTTTGTCTTTTCTTGATTTAGATAAGATATTAATGTACAATTTTGCTTCGAAATATTCGGCAAATGTTTGATGAATGAAATGAATAACCTTGGGATTCCCAATCGATTCGGCGATACCACCAACATTAATTATTTCTGATACGGTCACTGCCGGAAGTTCCTCTTCTTCTTCAAACCAAAGATGGTAAATATTTGGTCGTAATACACAGAAAGCAGTTCTGGCATGAACACGAATGAAACAATCGAACATAGATTTGCTAAATGGATTAGGCGTGTTTAGATGATAGTTATTTAACAATTTTGAATATTGTCGCTCAATAAATTTATCGAAAATTGTTATCACATTCAATTTTATTAAATTGTTATGATCATTACCACTAGCATTGCTATTTGGTTGCTGATTATCAACTGATGCGAAGGCTACAGCAATAATTTGGCAAAGCAATGGCGTGCCAAGTAAACTTTCCGCTGTGTTGTTGACATATGTATTAAGACGTTCGATAAAATATTCTGCTCTATCTCTTAATCCATGCCAATATTCATTAAGATAATTAATTTGTTGGTGCTTCGTAATCGGTTCGAAATCGTATTTATTTATGATAAGAGCCTCTGTTAAACTACTAAGAGCATATTTTCGAGTTGTGATGATGATTCTTATTAAATGCGTCGTATTCGTATTCAGTGACTGTATCAATTTAATACATTTTTTTTGAGCATCTACGCTGATTTCATCGAACCCATCCAAAATGATGATTAATGCATGCTCATTAGAGAGCCCTTTTAAAAATTGCAGAAGAAAATGTTCAGACAACTGTTTATCGTCCTCATTACCATCAAAGTTGGTAACAAGAAATTTAACAGCATTCTCCAATGATTCTATTTGATTAGTTTTCACAAATAATTCTTGATAGTCTCTCAAATCAACAAGTATTTTCCATACAAAGGTTGGTGTTGATATGGGTAGATCTTCATTAAAGAATCGCAGCCTTTGGTTGGATAGTAGCCATCTAACAAAATAGGATTTCCCCATTCCAGGTTCAGCTGCTAAAACAGTAATATGAGTCCTAAGAAGAAATTTATCATCGTCGATAATTTCCCATGACTTTGTATTGATATAACGATTTATACACGAGCCTATTGATGATGTCTTATTACCAATTGTCTTTTTCAAGATTCCAATATTTTCATTTGTAGAACTTTCGATCTCAATCAAATGAATATATGCAAAATCTTTTAAAGTGGAGATGGTTTCTTCTATTTGCTCTTTTGAAGGATTATTTAGTGACTTGAATTGAGATTTATCATTAAATTCGATTATTTGAGATTCACTCTGTTTGTACACAAAAATACAGGATTCGTTTTTGTTAAACGTTGTCTGAGTTTTTATGATTTCTTTTACATCAAGTCCATTGTACAGACGTAATTTACGAGAAATATGCGGAAGTAATGAAATTGCAGACAGCGTCGACACTGGAGAGTTTTTAATCGTAAGTGCTTGTGTTGACAATAAATGCTTTATGACGTTTGTATTCATTAGTTCAGTTTTTATTTTTTTATTTTCCATAGGCTTAATGAAATCCTGTAAATAAATGCTACGTTCATTTGAAGGTAGAGATATCAATTTCTCTGAAAATTCACGAAGATGAGAATAATGAAGGCGATCACATCCTACACAATTATCACATTCATGATAGTTATTAACAATAAAAAATTTTGATGATGAATTATTTTTGATGCAAAATTTTTTTCTGGAGCACGATGAAATTGTCTCTTCTGTCTCAATTATAAAAAAATACTTTTTATCTTCAGATGCCAATAGCTTTAAATCATCGTTTTTCTTCACAGCCTCGTTGAATTCAAGAATAAATACGTTATCTTCAGTTGCCATATCCGAGCCAGTAAGATAAAGATAAAGTTGCGCTGTTGTCCATCGAACAGGCTGTCCATCCGGTACACAACAACAAATGACAGATATATTCTTATCTTCAAGAAAGGACCCCATTTTTTCAGACCATCTTCTCACAGGAAGGATTTGTCCAAAAATTGATTCTTTTGTTAAACGATATGTAAGAGTATTATAAATAAGAACTTTTTCATTGGAAAGCATATGTTTCAATTTGGTGTCGATTTTTATACGATCTATATAACAACATTGATCCGGATTGATAACATTTGCAAAACAGTTTAAGAGCCAGCCAAGATAATTAGCCAGCCATACGTTTTCATCACGATGTGGTCTATTGGTCTTGTTGGATGGCTCATCATACAATTTGCTAATAATAGCACACAAACGATTTGATAGAATTGAATTCATTTCTTCAATTTTAGGAAATTGTAAAGCATAAATAAGATGATCACAAAAATCTTGTGAATTATCTCCGATCTTTTCATCAAGAAATGACTTATTAAATTGATAGAATTTTACTCCCTTCAAAATATCATCGTGAAATATATTTTTCGGTGGATCTTTTAATTCCGTGATACCTTTGTGGTTAATCAATGACGGATCTAAGCTACAATTACTACACAACATCGCATATTTTACAGTGCATCGATGCTTGCGTACGTCAGTATGACCAAGCAAACGCCGATCGTTCCATTCCATGACTTCTTTGTAAGACTTGAAATATTTTGCCAAAAAAAAAGGTCCATTATCCAATGTAAGATCTTTCTCTTCAATCTGTCGATCTTTCCTAGAATGCTTACTTTGTAAAAGTATGCAATCGAAATCCTCTGAGGAACCATCACGATAAAAGAGTGTGACATCGTCAAAATCACTAGCTTGTTTGTATCCTGGTGCAATATAAAATTGTTTCTTATTCATATTAAAAATGTTCAATGATGTTAGCATAAGAAGTTGCATTTCAAAATAGGGTCCGTGTGTAGTCTCTTGAAGTCCTTTTCCTCTGTGCGTTTCTCCAGCGTTTTTTTTCTGTTCCAGAGCTATGAACTCTGGTCGAAGAACTGTCTGATCAGCAGACGGAGCATTGGAGTCGGTTGTATGACGTTGTTGAATTTTCTTCTTGGGTGGCATTCGAATCACATATATATTAACAACAACAGCAGAAATTTTTTAAATGCGTAACAACCACATCGAAGAATAATTTGTAAACAACACTATGTCGTCAAAAATAAAAGTGAGAAACGTATATGCGCAACTCTTTTATTTTTGATTTTATTTTCTCGCTTTTTTCGCTACTCGTTTCTTTCAAAAGTGCTGCTATATTTTTCTCTTTCTTTCATCATCATGTTCAGTCATGTTGATGTCTGCTTACAGAAGAGTTATTTCCGCAAGCTTTTCAATCAATCTTTGCTTGGCTTTTCTGTCTTTTCTCTTTTCTTCCACATAGAGGCGTCAGCCGTGCGGCTGAGCCGCCGCCGCCGATTCTCGGAAAATTAAAGCCGCCGCCGCCGCCGCCGTGGCAGTGGAAATTTTAAGATTTTTTGAGCTGCCGCCGCTGAGGCGCTTTTATTACAGCCGCCGCGCCGCCGATGGCATGCGAAGTTTTAAAATTTATTAGCCGCCGCCATCGACCCTTATCATTGATATCGACAATTTTTATTTATATTTTCATTTTTTAATGAATTTCGATGTTTTCATTCATTTTCATCTCAATATGATATATAGAGATGCACCAATTCTTAGTGCATGGTCTGATAAATGACATTTTTGCCTGATGAAGAACACAGTTGTCCGCTGATTCCATAGAGCAGTCAAGATCAGGTTTTTCGCCTTCTCTGAAACCATAGTCCGAATTTATGAAAGATTTAAAAAAATGCTTCGGATTTTACGTGGATTTTACACAAAATTAGAATTTTCAAATTTTATTGGGTCAAATGCTGTGAAATCTAATTCAATTTCAGACTTGCAGTTTGTATTAGACAGAATCTAGTGGCGGATCCACGGGGTGGCTGAGGGGGATTTAGTTCCCTGAGGTAATTTTTAGCCACCCATGAATCCCTCCCAGTGCAAAATTCTGGCTCCGCCACTAACAAAATCTAAGAATAGATTTGAAGAGAGCGCTCAAAAATGAACAGAAATAATATGAAAAAAGATGCTCGGTTGATAACTGCCAATGACAAGCATGTTCTTTTTATACAGGGGAAAAAATAATTCCTGGAATTTTTGATCTAATGTTTGCTTCTTTTCAGTATTGAGAGTTATCGACCGAGCGTCTTTTTTCATATTATTTGTGTTCAGTTTTGAATGCTCTCTTCAAATATATTCTTAAATTTTGCCTAGTACAAACGGCAAGTCTGAAATTGAGTTGGATTTCGCAGAATTTAAGCCCCCAAAACTTACAAATTCTAATTTTATGTGAAGTCCAGGTAAAATCCGAAGCCTTGTTAAAATCTTTCATAAATTCCGACTGCAGCTTCGGATGGAGCGAAAAAAAATTATTTTGATTGATTTATGAAATAAGCGAATAACTGCGTTCTTCATCAGGCAAAAATATCATCTTTCGGAGCATGTACTAGGAATTGATGTATCCCTAATTTATTTAAATGTACTTTATTTATTATGTCAAGATGTAAAATAAAGTTGTTTCATATATTTGTTTGAAAATACTAACGATAGGATATTGCAATAGACAGACTGTTCTTGTTCACAAAACTAGTGCTTTTTTAACCTTCCAGCCGCTGCCGCTGATCAACGATAGACCCAACACCGCCGCCGCTGTGCAGCCAAAATATTCGAGTCAGCCGCCGCCGATGAGCACCTCGGCTGACACCTCTAATTAAGATTCAGTTGAATTCA